CTGTCTTTCTCTCTGTCTCTTTGTCTCTCTCTTTGTCTCTATCTCTCTCTATCTCTGTCTCTGTTTGTTTCTGTCTCTTTCGCTCTCTGTCTCTCTCTGTCTCTCTCTCTGTCTCTGTCTCTCTCTCTGTCTGTCTTTCTGTCTCTCTGTCTGTCTGTCTGTCTATCTACAATAGGCAGTACGTGTCACTGTATGCTGTACATTTTATCCAATAATCTGCATTTATTTGGTTTGTCATTTAGATTTGTTTGACAGCAGTCTTTACATAATGACAAACTAAGATCCCCCCTTCTTCTCCCCCACCCAGAACCCCCCCCCAACAACAAAAACATCAAAATAAACCAATCAACGCATTTAGCCAGGTCTTCCACGTTTGTATGCGATGTTAGAGGTTTCAGCTCCCCTTTTTAGCTCAATGTTTAGTGAATGAAACTCTTACCCCGTGTAATTATGTGATAACTTCACTAACAAATTATTAAACAGCTACTTTTATCATTACTTTTAATTACACAAATCAAATGCAATTTAAACATCACCAGCACTTAAATCCCGCTGAATTGCAGATATCGCAACAAACAAAACGGTACTTTCATTGAAAAATAAAGGAAAATAAAATATTTCGTTTAATTTAATTGAATGGATTGCTTTCTCAGTTACTGGACAGATAAGGTCGGATTCGGCATTTAAAATATTTGCTAAATACAACAAATCGTCTATTTATGGATTGATTCGTGTAAGAGAATATTTGGGGCAGAATGCGAATTTCTCACAAATTAAGAAATCGAAAAATCCCAGAACATTCCTTTATTTTGCGATAATTGATTGTATAAATTGGTCATTGTTACCGATGACATAAAATCACTTTGTTTCCTTAGAGAAATAAACTGACAGAAACTAAGAACAACGAAATTAGAATAAGTCTAACCTCAAATGTCTGTCTGTCACCTTAAATATGTTCATGTTTGCAATATTAACTTTTTTATTGTATTTTACAAATACTATCATTGTTCATTTTATGTATTTATTTATTTCTCTTATCTTTAAACCGGTGTAAAATAGTTAAATATCTTAACAGTTAAATTCTAACAATTACAATCTAATAATAAATAGCATTGTAACTTTATATATATATAACCCGCGCTTAGAAAATACAGTTATTGTTATTATTATTATTGTTAAAGTTAGTATTGTTATTATTATTGTTGTTATTATTATTATTATTATTATTTTTATTATTATTATTATTATTGTTATTATTGTTAAAGTTATTATTGTTATTATTATTATTTTCGTTTATATCCAAGCAATGAAAACAGTCAAAGACAATAGGTTGTATATAACTCAGGATTTTCTTTCCTTACGCGATGTTTCCAGATATTACTAATCCTTTGTGTTTACATGTTTGTATTCAATATGTAATTTTACAGATAATTATGACATATACGTGCAAATACACAGAATGCAGAAAATGTCTTACAGAATTTAAAACGATGCAGGTTTCACAAATATCCGGTATTGGAAGATGTTTGATACAGAAAAAAAACAAAAGGTCCCTTATTTGTGTGTTATATAGTCTCTGTCACTGAGAAACTGTCTGTGTGTCATATAGTCTCTGTCACTGAGAAACTGTCTGTGTATCATATAGTCTCTGTCACTGAAACACTGTCTGTGTGTCATATAGTCTCTGTCACTGAGAAACTGTCTGTGTGTTATATAGTCTCTGCCACTGAGACACTGTCTGTGTGTTATATAGTCTATGTCACTGAGACACTGTGTTATATAGTCTATGTCACTGAGACACTGTCTGCTTGTTATATAGTCTCTGTCACTGAGACACTGTCTGTGTGTTATATACTCTCTGTCACTGAGACACTGTCTGTGTGTTATATAGTCTATGTCACTGAGACACTGTGTTATATAGTCTATGTCACTGAGACACTGTCTGTGTGTTATATAGTCTATGTCACTGAGACACTGTGTTATATAGTCTATGTCACTGAGACACTGTCTGCTTGTTATATAGTCTCTGTCACTGAGACACTGTCTGTGTGTTATATACTCTCTGTCACTGAGACACTGTCTGTGTGTTATATAGTCTATGTCACTGAGACACTGTGTTATATAGTCTATGTCACTGAGACACTGTCTGTGTGTTATATAGTCTATGTCACTGAGACACTGTGTTATATAGTCTATGTCACTGAGACACTGTCTGCTTGTTATATAGTCTCTGTCACTGAGACACTGTATGTGTGTTATATACTCTCTGTCACTGAGACACTGTCTGTGTGCTAGAAAGTCTCTGTCACTGAGACACTGTCTCTATGTTATATAGTCTCTGTCACTGAGACACTGTCTGCTTGTTATATAGTCTCTTTCACTGACACATTGTCTGTGTCTTATATAGTATCTGTCACTGAGACACCGTCTGTGTGTTATATAATCTCTGTCCCTGAGACACTGACTGTGTGTTATGTAGTCTCTGTCACTGAGACACTGTCTCTGTGTTATATAGTCTATGTCACTGAGACACTGACTGTGTGTTATATAGTCCTTGTCACTGAGACACTGTCTGTGTGTTATATAGTCTCTGTCACTGAGACACTATCTGTGTGTTATGTAGTCTCTGTCACTGACACATTGTCTGTGTGTTAGAGAGTCTCTGTCACTGAGACACTGTCTGTGTGTTATATAGTCTATGTCACTGAGACACTGTCTGTGTGTTATGTAGTCTCTGTCACTTACACATTGTCTGTGTGTTAGAGAGTCTCTGTCACTGAGACAACATCTGTGTGCTAGATAGTCTATTTCACTGGGACACTGTCTGTGTGTTATGTAGTCTCTTTCACTGAAGCACTGTCTCTGTGTTATATAGTCTCGTTCACTGAGACACTGTCTTTTTGTTACATAGTCTCTGTCATTGAGACACTATCTTTGTGTTACATAGTCTATGTCACCGACACATTGTCTCTGTGTTAGAGAGTCTTTGTCACTGGTACATTGTCTGTGTGTTATGTAGTCTCTTTCACCGAAGCACTGTCTCTGTGTTATATAGTCTCGTTCGCTGAGACACTGTCTTTTTGTTACATAGTCTCTGTCATTGAGACACTATCTTTGTGTTACATAGTCTCTGTCACCGACACATTGTCTCTGTGTTAGAGAGTCTCTGTCACTGGTACACTGTCTGTGTACACACAAATATTGATAATAAAAAGAAAAGTTAAAGGTACAGGCAATAACAGTACCTAGAGAGTTAAACAATACAAATGATTTGACCTGAGCTGCAGCCTCTATCACTGTAGTTCCAGCAGTGTACACAGACAAATATAGAAAAAATGAGGTCTACGCTTCCAGAAGAAGTGTGCACAGAAGTGCTACCAAATATTTATTTGAAGGACATGTGTTATCTGGTCTCTGTCACTGTGACACTGTCTGTGTGTTGGATAGTCACTGTTACTGGGACACTATCTCTGTGTTAGATAGTCACTGTCACTGGCACACTGTATGTGTGTTAGATGGTCACTGTTACTGGGACACTGTCTGTGAGTTAGTCACTGTTACTGGAACACTGTCTCTGTGTTAGATAGTCACTGTTACTGGAACACTATCTGTTTGTTAGATGGTCACTGTTACTGGGACACTGTCTGTGAGTTAGTCACTGTTACTGGAACACTGTCTCTGTGTTAGATAGTCACTGTTACTGGGACACTGTCTCTGTGTTAGATAGTCACTGTCACTGGGACACTGTCTGTGTGTTAGATAGTCACTGTTACTGGAACACGGTCTGTTTGTTAGATAGTCACTGTCACTGGGACACTGTCTGTGAGTTGGATAGTCACTGTCACACTGTCTGTGATAGTCACTGTCTGTGTGTTAGATAGTCACTGTCACTGGGACACTGTCTGTGAGTTAGATAGTCACTGTCACTGGGACACTGTCTGTGTGTTGGATAGTCATTGTGTGTTGTATACTCTCTCTCTCTGTGTGTGTGTGTGTGTGTGTATACTCAGTATATGTTTTATACTCAATATGTGTTGTATACTCTGTGTGTGTGTGTGTGTGTGTATACTCAGTATATGTTTTATACTCAATATGTGTTGTATACTCTGTGTGTGTCATATACTTAGTATGTGTTTTATACTTGGTGTGTGTGGTGTATAATCTGTGTGTGTGTTGTATTCTATTTGTGTGTTTTATACTCGGTGTGTACAGTAGTAGTAGTTAATTTCATAGTGACTGACATAAAAGGTTATGAATGCTCTGATAGCAATGTAACGAGTTCTCGCTATAACAATGTATCGATTTAACACTGTATCAATGTATCGATGTATCAATGTATCAATGTATCGAGTGAGTGACGGTGAGTGGCAGTAAGTGACAGTGAGTGACGGGGAGTGGCAGTGAGTGGCAGTCAATTACAGTAAGTGGCAGTAAATGACGGTGAGTGACAGTAAGTGACAGTGAGTAACGGTGAGTGGCAGTGAGAGACAGTGACGGTGAGTGAGAGTGAGTGAGAGTGAGTGACAGTGAGTGACGGTGAGTAACGGTGAGTAGCAGTGAGTGGCAGTGAGTGAGTGAGTGACGGTGAGTGGCAGTGAGTGAGTGACGGTGAGTGGCAGTGAGTGAGTATCACTGACAAACAGGAGTTGGAAATACAAAGAGAGAGAATGTGACAGGAGAAATTGAGAGATGTTTGGTGAGTTAGACGATAATAAATGGGAGAATTAGAGAGGAAAAAGGAGAAGGGACTAACATGTGAGAGAGAGAGAGTGAGGAGGGGAGAGAAAGAGTGTCAGGGAAAAAGACACGAGAGAGGATAAAGGGAGAATAGACAGAGGGAGAGAATAGCAAGGCGGAGTGAGAGGAGATACAGCCTATAAGAGTGAGAGTGTGTGTGTGTGTGTGTGGAGGGGGGGCGGGGGGGGTGTAAGAAATTAGTGGAGGGGAGGTTTTAAAAGGAAAGAGAGAAGTGTGAAGATTGACTGAGAGCGAGAGCTGAACTCACACTGAGCTCTCATTAGACAGCACTTAGAGGGCACTCTCTTCCAGCATTGAGAAATAGATATCAATTGTAGTGCACTCTCCCTGCCCTGAGTTCTCATTAGACAGCTCTTGTTGAGTTCGCCCTCCTCCCATTCTGAGCTCTCATTAGACAGCTCTTGGTGAGTTCTTCCTCCTCCCATTCTGAGCTCTCATTAGACAGCTCTTGGTGAGTTCTCCCTTCTCCCGTTCTAAACTCTCATTAGACAGCTCTTGGTGCGTTCTCCCTTCTCCCATTCTGAGCTCTCATTAGACAGCTCTTGGTGAGTTCTCCCTCCTCCTATTCTGAGCTCTCTTTAGACAGCTCTTGGTGAGTTCTCCCTTCTCCCATTCTGAGCTCTCATTAGACAGCTCTTGGTGAGTTCTCCCTCCTCCTATTCTGAGCTCTCTTTAGACAGCTCTTGGTGAGTTCTCCCTCCTCCCATTCTGAGCTCTCTTTAGACAGCTCTTGGTGAGTTCTCACTCCCCCCCATCCTGAGCTCTCTTTAGACAGCTCTTGGTGAGTTCTCACTCCCTCCCATTCTGAGCTCTCTTTAGACAGCTCTTGGTGAGTTCTCCCTCCTCCCATTCTGAGCTCTCTTTAGACAGCTCTTGGTGAGTTCTCCCTCCTCCCATTCTGAGCTCTCTTTAGACAGCTCTTGGTGAGTTCTCCCTCCTCCCTGCCCTGAGCTGTCAGACTATACAGAGAGCCAGGCAGGGAGCAGTCTGATTGACAGCTGCAGTTTCCTAATAAGGGCTGTGGATGAATTGACTGTGCTCCCTCACTCACTCAGTGAGTGCCCCTTGCCATGCACTGCCAGTCCGAGCTCAGGATGCCCTCCCCCGGGCACAGCATGGCAGCCAGGAGGCGCTACAAATCCTTCATGATCGATGAGATTCTCTCCAAGGAAACATGCGATTACTTCGAGAAACTGTCTCTGTACTCAGTGTGTCCGGCCCTGCTGGTCAGACCCAAACCCCTGCACTCCTGCACCGGTACGTACCCACCACCTGGCACCCAGCTGGGCACCAACAGCTATACTGTGTGTTATTATATAGAGAGAGCCCCCTATACTGTGTGTTATTATATAGAGAGAGCCTCCTATACTGTGTGTTATTATATAGAGTGAGCCCTCTATACTGTGTGTTATTATATAGAGTGAGCCCTCTATACTGTGTGTTATTATAGGGAGTGAGCCCCCTATACTGTGTGTTATTATATGGAGTGAGCCCCCTATACTGTGTGTTATTATAGGGAGTGTAACCTCTATACTGTGTGTTATTATAGGGAGTGAGCCCCCTATACTGTGTCTTATTATATGGAGTGAGCCCCCTATACTGTGTGTTATTATAGGGAGTGTAACCTCTATACTGTGTGTTATTATAGGGAGTGAGCCCCCTATACTGTGTGTTATTATAGGGAGTGAGCCCCCTTATACTGTGTGTTATTATAGGGAGTGTAACCTCTAAATTGTGTGTTATTATAGGGAGTGAGCCCCCTATACTGTGTCTTATTATATGGAGTGAGCCCCCTATACTGTGTGTTATTATAGGGAGTGTAACCTCTATACTGTGTGTACCCTATAATGTGTTCTCCCCATTCTGTGAGAGCTCCAGTGTGCGTTCTCTGACAGCAACAACTCTGTATTGTGTGCCCCCCATACTGTGTGTCCCCCATACTGTCACTTAATGTCCCTTTACCATTGTAAAGATAAAAATAAATAAATAAATATTTACAAAATAGAAACCTTGTTTGGGATTCTAATGCAGCCAATTTAAATGATTTATTACTGTGTGTACTCTGTTCGGTGTGCCCCCTTCCTCCCCAATACTGTGTGCCCCCTGTGCTATGTGTACTGTATTCCGTATGCCCCCAATACTGTGTGCCCTATATACTGTGTGTACTCTCTTTGGTGTGCCCCCCCCCCATACTGTGTGTCCCCCCTCCTATGTGTACTGTATTCCGTGTGCCCCCCATATTGTTTGCCCTATATACTGTGGGTACTCGGTGCTGTACTGTATGGTGTTTACTTTGTGTTGTATTCACCTTCACGGTAACTCTCCCCACTACACTCTAGGCTCAGTACTGTCAGTGCTCTCTGTAGTGTTTGCCTTGGTATAGTGTGACTTGTCTCTCTTAACCCCAGTTCAAATAGAGAATTCTAAGAAAATCTTACTGACACTGCCAACCTCACAGACAACTACACAGCAGGCTGTGTCACTTGGACATTTGTGTGTCTCTCTGTGTGTGTGTCTGTGTATATAATACACATATACACACATAACAAACACACTCATACACATAATACACATATAGAACACACTGATACACAGACAGGCAGACAGACACATAGAAAGACAGACACACACACGCACAGACATACACAGCACCCCTCACATGCCCTCATTTTAGGACACTAACCCTCCTGGTTAATGTAATTGGCAGTTTGATGCCTCAGGGAGAGTAACAGGAAAAACAGATTGATTACCAAAACCGAAACAGGCTGCCCCCCCAAATATTCACTGACCCCCGCCCCACCCCCAAAAATAACTACCTGTCCTCTGGTTCACCTCACACAGACCTGACACTGTAATCCTGAGGATTCTCCTTCTTCTTGTTAATATTATTATTGTAATTATTAATATTTAATTGTTATTAATATTATAATAATTATTATTATTACCATTGTTATTACATTCACTTGATAAAACCCTCCTCCCTCACCTGCTGTTGGCTATTTACCAATATTATCGTGTCCCTATACGCCGGGTGCATTGATAATGATCACTGACTTACTATAAATTACCCAAACAGCTTCACACACCGCCAAATATGACACATAAACACAAAGTTTAACAAAAACGACACAAAGCATTGCTGAGTTTATATTCACCGATTGTTCGTCACAGTAAAATATACTGAGATTCTGCCACATCATTGAGATTTTATTAAAAGCAAATCTGTCTGATTCTCTGGGTTAATTTTAATATTAATTATTTCATATTACTCTCAATATAAAATAATATACCAAGCCATAAAACAATTAAATTAATAAACTTCACCTAAAAAAATAAATATAAAAAATAAATAAAATAAACTCCTAAATTAACTTCACTAAATGATAAACTAACCCTGAGAGGTTTATAAAGCAAATAAAAAATACTAAATGCTCAGTTTATAGTAAATATGGAGTGGGGGCGGAGAATTACGCTGGTCGATGTTAAATTAAAATTCTGCAATCGCAATAAAAAAAATAAACGATTCATTTAATTTAGTAAATGGAATCAAAATTAGAATTCGATCCACACACGAAATAATATATATTTTTGATTATTGTTGCTATCGATATTTTAAACTGATGGAGAATTAAACCGAAAAAAAAAAATGCTAAAAATGATTTGTATACATTGTATCGGTTTGGAGGTTCGGTCTCGGCACGTCAAGGGTTAAATAGCTGCATATTATTTAAAAATACCCCTTAATAATAATAATAATAATGCTATGACTACAAGAATATTTATTATATTGTAATGAGAAATAGTGCATGTTATCGCCGGAGACTTGATAACTCGCCACTCTTATGTACTAAGAACTCTCTGGAAGTTAAAGAGGATTTCGCTCAGTTTAATGTAAATTCTTTTAATAAACTCGCCTTATTTATCCTGAAATATTTTCTGTTCCCACAATCACTTTTTATTAAAATACACCCCTAAATCTATGTAATCCCTCTGAGCTGGGACAGGGGGTACATGACTTTAGTTAAATTGGGGGTGCACGGTTTACTAAGTAAAACCAAGCAAATTAAACACAGATATAAATATTTACATCAATAATAATAATATTTACATAAATCAGTAAATGAATAAGTACATTAATATATCCATACACGGATACATTGTTCCATTAATACATATTTATGTTTGCAGAGCTGAGAGGAAGTGTTTATAAACAAAAAATGATAAAATAGGAATGTTTTCTAAACATTGGCACACTGTTAATAAACTTGTTTCAATAAATAAACATATTACATCATTTACATTGGCTGTATTAGAATCCAAAACACGGTTTCTATTTTGTAAATATTTATGTATTTATTTATTTAATGTTTTTATATCTTTACAATGGTAAAGGGACATTGAGTGACAGCCATAGCAGCTTGCTGGTCCCCTCCCCAGGACCTTGTGCTGTGAGAGACTTCTGCCAGTGTGTGTGGAGGCAATAAGAGACTTCTAGCAATGAGTGCTCTATGTAATAGATGAGTGCTATATACTATTAAAAATATTTTATAATTTAATGTCTCCTTCAGGTATTGGGGTGGTAGGGGAGCCCCCCCAAAATTCACTGTGTCTCTGTCTTGTGACCCCTTCGAATTTAAATGGTCAGACTATTGTGTTGAGTCACTGATGTTGTTTGAGGTTTGTTGGACAGGGTTGGTGGTTTAGCAGTATATTTATTTTTTGTATTTACTTTTGGGTTATTATTTGAGGGAAACTTGCCATCTCACCACTCAAATCATGTGGCACCAGAGGAGTGTGGGGTTGGGGGTGGGGGCACCCTGCTTAATGCTTTATATAAAGAGTTAATTGTAACCTTTAAATAAACCCTAATATTGCCCCCATCCATGTATATGAGATTAACCCCTTTTTTTTTTTCCAAGCAAGCCAGACAGTTAACTAAGTACATATCACCATATTATCAAACCAACTGCTATTATAATGCGATTGGAGCCAGCATGGGCGATTAGGGACAGCTGGCGCTAGTTCTGGGCACAATATAGATGATGTCATTTATATTCTATAAGTGGATATATTGGTCCCAAATAAATCCAGAAACACACAGATTATTTTGTAAAAAAAACAAACTACAAAAAATAAAATAACACATTTCCCTATATATAGATTACTAATGTATTGCTAATATCTGGGATGTATTTATACTCCAGGATTGTATTCAATACGCTGCATGCTTGGTTTGCATGTTGTCTGATGTTGATGGATGCTTTTGGAAGGCCTCTCACATCCTTCTGTATCCATTTGTTTCTGGTCAAAATAAATCTTGTAATTGGAGTTTTAATTAAACACATCAATATCTGCGGAATTTCTGCTCGATAAATAAGTTCGACTAATTGTAATATTGTCTTGGTGTATGTGTTTATTTGTAAATATTCTAGATTAAACTCCCAGTGCAGAAACACTGCTTTCTGTAGATATTTCCAAACATAAATCAGAACTTCCAGTCCCCCATAATGCCTTGCTGCAGCTTTGGCTGGTGTAATATCGTATTAAAGATTCTTCTGTGTGGTCACACATTTTATTAAATTGAGTATATCACAGAGCAATGATTTGTAACCTTTGATCTGCATGGTACAAGTTTCCAAAACATTTCTTCAATTCTAAAATTAGATTAATTACCATTGTTCCATTGGAATAGAAAAATTAGCAAAATCATTTTTGCAAAACCCTTTCCATGACTCTCCTCTGTGTCAGTGGAATAAGGGGGTCCCCATTTCTGAGGATGTACAGGATTTTTTGAGAGCAGCTGTCTTGGGCCTGGTCAATATAAAACGACTGGTCCAGCCACTAGGGTCACAGTAAAATATCTTGGGCTCCCAAATTTGGGTTATGACCCAGGGTTAAATCCCCACTGTCATTAAGGATTATTATTGGGACACCTAGGCAAACTGTGTTCAGAAAGGAGCTATAGATTACAGTGGCAGTTCCATTTTGATTATGATAATGGCATTTTTATGATGTGCCCATGATAACTGTGTGGATTATATAGCATTACTTAATCTCTCTGAAAGCTAATAAGACATGAGTTTACTGATCAGAATTTACTGGTAACTGTACTGAATTAAAATGATATTCCCACACTTCAGAAGTCCTTTTATTAAACTAATATTTTGTATGTTTTCCATTTTACGTGTTAAGTACTGTGTGTACTCGAATCTAATGTGCACCCTTCATTTTTTAAACCTGGAAGCTGAAAAATGTTTTTCGCTGGCGAATGTAATGGGCATTTGTACAAGAAAATACTACTATGCAACATTTACATAATATTTTATTTATTTCTTTATAATATAATTCCTGGCAAATATACTCAAATCTAATGCGCCATCGAATCTAATGCGCATTCAAATTTAGGAAACTTTATTTTGCCAATAACAGTGTGCATTAGATTCGAGTAAATGCGGTATTTTTTATGGTTTTATTTTATTTAACAAAGTCATCTTATACAGACAATGCATGAAATGATCGACTCAATTGAGCCTCTTGATCTATGTCAAGCAATGTCTGACGTGATCACTTGTATGTTTTGGTTACTCATTGTACAGCACTGCAGAATATGTTGGTAATGGACAATAAATGAATTAGCCATAAAACTTGCCAGGAATGTAGGCATTACAGATAATTCAACAATACATTCTAGTGATTTGAAAACTGAAATGAAAATGTCTGGCTACAATAGCCCAGCTGTGGCTGTACTGAATTGGATTTTCCCAGTTTCCCTCTTTTTTACGTGAATTATACAGATCAGCTTAGAGTTGGCTATGGCTTGCTGTGCAGTGTGTAAGCCCCATTGAGTCATGTTGCTATATGTGTGGTCTGTTACATAATAATTGTTTACAAAACCTGTTGCATGTGAGTTTGAGATATGGAACGCAGCTTCCGAACACGGAACTAAATTGCAGATATTGCAGTAAACTCCATGATTAGATCTCAGCAATATAACTGCTAGAGCAGACATCAGCCTGCTCAGCACAAATCGTATTTATATTATTATTAATATTATTAATAAACGTTATTTATAAAGCGCCAACAAATTCCACAGCGCTGTACACGAGTACAATTTCTGCAAGTAAAAAGACAAAGGTATAAAACATCTGAGACAATACAAAACCAAAACAATATATATATATTATTTTTTTTAAGCAAGGAAAATTCTTATTTTACACATTTTTGGAAAACAATATTTCGTTGAATGAAGCAAAAGCTAGTGATCCGTCAAACGGTCAACATTATGCAATAAAGAGTGAATTGTCAGGAATTCATAATGAATCAGAGGACAAACCAGACAAACTGAAACTTAGCTCGGAGAATTGGAGAATATTTCTTGCTCCACTATTTTGGATTGCAATTTGCAATGATTGCTATATTTATTATAGTGAGTAATATGAAACATAGCGCACCATGTGTAATAAAGTAAAACGTGTTTTTGTTTTTTTTAAGGTAAAACATTTGTGCAATAATATTAATAAACTATTTATTATGAATTATTATTTTACATAGGGACATTTCTGCAGCCCCTACAATCTCTGCTTGGACCAGCAATGCCGACTCTTGATATGAAGGCGTAATACTGCCACTATGTGTGCGATCTTCTTTTAACTGTTTTAATATATTTTATAAAAAAAAAGTATAGAAAGCAGGAGAAACTGGCTGGTATTAAGAAGAGCACAATAAGGGAATAGGCAAGGTTTTCCATAAATAAAGCTTTGACACAGCTTAGCCTATCAATATACCAGACGGTTACGATTCTGACTAATGTACATGTTCAAACTTAGGGTTACAGGTGTGATGCCCAGCGGGGTCAACTCATTATTTTATACTTCCTATAAAAAGAGTACAAATAAGTTAATAGTAATACGTATTACTCAGCTGCTGATCTGATAAAATATGAGAATCTGCATCGAAGCTCTTGACTGCCATTAGGAGAGAGCCGTAAGAAAAGGTTGCTCCCACATGTATAAAATGATTACTGCCAGGACGGAGTACCAGGGTGACAGCTGCAGTCAAATAAAAAGACATCTAATTATAGATTAAGAATTCTGTTGCAGATAGTTTCTAAAAATAGTTGCAGAAGTTCACATTTTATATCACTTTATTGCACTTTAATTTGCACTATTCTATGTTTCGCGGTTTCTGAACTGAACGAAACGTTGCAATTACAGAATGAAACGTCGTAGTACGAAGCCGTGATCGAGATCAAGGGTAGGTAACCTTCGGCAATCAAGATGTTGTGGTCTACATCTCCCATAATGCTGTTAAAGCCGTAATGCTGGCAAAGCGTCCCGGGAGATGTAGGTAATCATTCTACATCCAAATTATGTTCATGGTATTAGTCTGGCGATACATTCTTCAATTGAAAATGAACTCCGTGATCCATTCTTCAAGTAGAATAAATCTGGTTTCTGACATCTTACATAATATTTATTTTTAGATTATATACATATATATTTTTCAGTACACTGATTGGCCCATTTTTGTGCCCTAATGGTTTGTCCGAATCATCTTCCTCAATTGTTTGCATGGACGAAATGCATCAGAGCTGAAACGACCTATGAACGAGTTGTGGACTGCCCGATAAAACACATTTTGGACACTTTTTATGTTTGTTTTCATACAAATAATTTTTTGTGGTGTACAAATCTAATGAAAATAATCTGCGTGAGCCCACCAGTGGGTAACCCAAAAAATGACAGAGGGATCCAGTTTGTAGTTAAAAACCAATAATAATGATCCGTTTTCATGAGCTTTTCTTCTTTATTTACTTTATTTAAATTTTTTTCCTGGTTCCAAAGTATCCATCTCTGTTCCTCAGGGTTTGACTCGGTATCCACATAAACGCCCCTGGGATGTTTTACATCTGATATGGGAACTTTCAGACGGTCATTTTTCGTCTAGTTTTGTCCCTCTACCATTTGTGTTTTCTCCACTTTTTCGAACACTCCTAAGAATGCATTTACTGTATTTTGTATTGTGAATTAAAAAAGCATCTGTCATTGATTAAATTACTATGTGATGATTTTATACCAAGTATATGTTTTGATTGTCTAATAAAATATAGATTTAAAAACAAAAATCTAAGAAAGTATTTTTAAGAACTAAAAACATAAAAATTGTTCTCCTACCTGTTCTCACATAGAAAATCTATTCATGCATCTTTAAAAAATTCACTGTTAAGATGAAACAAAAAAAAATCTGAATATTACAAAAAGAACCAGTTTAATATATGAATATTATAGATTTATAGGTATAATATAGATAAGACATTTTATTATAGGATTAGTAAAATTTAAGATATTTAATCAAATTAATTTTCCATAAATATTTCTCCAAAGAAGAATCAAGGTAATGGGACATCTGTCTGTCTGTCTATCTCTCCATCTGTGTCTGTCTCTTCCTCTCTCTATCTATTTATTATTTTATATAGCGCCAGCAAAATTCCATAGCGCTGTACAATGGGTGGACTAACAGACACGTAATTGTAACCAGACAAATGGACGCACAGGAACAGAGGGGCTGAGGGCCCTGCTCAATGAGCTTACATGATAGAGGGACTTGCATCTGTCTGTCTGTCTGTCTGTCCATCTGCCGGTCTGTCCATCTGTCCGTCCGTCATCTTTCTTTCTCTCATACTGGAAACATTTTTACAATAATATTAATAAACTATTTAGGAACAAAAAACTTGAAATAATTTTCCAAATAAGCAAAATATAAATCAAGGAGTAAAAGGACAAAGAGGATTTTTTAAAATTACCTGTCTTCCTGCAGCGAGGGTCGGTGCAAGGATTTTTAGCTACACAGGCGAAGACGCATTTCAACGCCCCCCCACCCCCTTAAAAAAAAAAGCGTCTTTGGAAGCAGCACAAAGGCTCACTGAACCAATCACTCCAGAAGAAATTGCCTCTGTCTTGAAAACACTGAAACCGAACAAAAGACAGCTTTACGGGTTTGTATTACAAATCATTTGCCCCAACCCTAATCCCACACCTTTGCAACCTCTTCAACGCCATTCTCATGGGCGAGGCCCTACCCCGGGACATGCTCCAAGCTAACATTTGCCTCATTCCCAAACCCAACAAGACATATCTAGACACAGGCCACTTCAGACTGATTTCACTACTGAATATGGATACCAAATTATTTAGTAAATTTCTCGCAGAATAACTGGGCCCATTCCTTCCAAAACGGATCCACCCGGACCAAGTAGGATTTATCCCCAACAGACAAGCTAGTGACAATACCAGGCGGACATTCGATCTTATTTGGACAGCCCAAACTAGACAGATCCCAACCCTAATGCTCTCCTTGGATGCTGAAAAAGCATTTGACAGACTACTATGGCCCTTCCTATTTGCAACCCTGCACAAATTTGGAATACCGACGTCTGATAGACGTCTTGAAAATACTATACGACACCCCGACTGTTAACCTCCATCCGCTGGGGAGTCTGGGAGAAGAGCAGAGGAAGTCACACCCTCTCCTCTTGACATCATCAGGAGAGGCCGGCCGACTTCCCAGGCTGCTGTGTGATGACTGCAGGCTCCAGCTCCCTCTCACCCTTCCCTGGCCCAAGGTAAGCCTCAGGGAAGGGGGATACTTTTTATTTTTTTAAATACAATTTTTTTTTGGCAGCCCCTGTTCCCATCCTATAGCCCCTCCGTGTGCCCCCTAAAGCCACAGCTCCTATCACCCTCTAGAGCTCATGTGCCCCCACTTTCCAGCTCCTGCCCCCCCCCCCACTCCAGCTCCTGCCACCCCTTTTCAGCTCCTGTCCACCCCCTTCTTTAGCTATTGTCTCTCCCCCTCTCCAGCTTCTGTCCGCAGCTCCAGCCCCCCCTCTACTACAGCTCCTGTGTCCCCCATCTACAGCTCCTGTATCCCCCTCTCAGGACCTGAGCCCCTCACCACAGCCCATGTGCCCCCACAACAGCCCCTGTGCCCCCCTCTAGAGCTCTGTCCATTTCACCACAGGCCCTGTGCGCCTGTCACCCCTCCACAGCTTCTGTCAACCCTCTCTCTTGAGCCCCTGTGTCCCCTCTCTCAAGCCCCTGTGTCTTCCCCTCTCCAGCCCCTGTCCCCCCACTCTCTCCAGCTCTTGCCCCCCACCCTCTACAGCCTCTGTGTTTCCCTGTCCCCCCATCAGCTCCTGTCCCCCCTCTCAGGTCTTGGGCCCCTCACCACAACCCCTGCCTCACCTACCAGACATCTCCCCAACTACAGCCTCTATCCCCCATGTGCAGCCCTAACCTACTTTTACACCCCGTACTCCCACTATTCCATAATTAAAGTCCCATATCAACCCCTCTCCCCCAGTTACAATCCATATCACCCACACCACAGCCCCTTTCCCAAATTCTAGCCATCAACCAACTTAATTCCTTATCCCTGCCACTACATTTCTCCGCAATTACAGCCCATACCCTCCACTACAGCCTCTAATCCTCAACTACAGCCCCTAGACCCCTACTACAAGCCCTGTGTCCCCCCCTAGAGCCCCTGTGACTCCCACTACAGCCCCCTGTGCCCCTGAGAGCCCCCTACTCCTCCACAGCTTCTGTCCCCCTCTCAGCCCTTGTGCCCCCCTACACCAGAGCTCCTGCCCACCCTCCTCTCCAGCTCCTGCCCCCCTCTCCAGCTCCTGTTTCCCCCCCTCAAGCTCCTGCCCCCCCTCCTTCAGCCTCTGTATCACCCCTTCTCAGGGCCTGCACCCCTCACCACAGCCCCAGCCCCCCCTTATTCCATTACAGTATAAAGAGGGGTGGATTAAATTTTATTTTCCACACCTCACAATTACATATTTGTTCAATACAGAGATAGGTAAACATAATATAAACAAGGCAGTGAAAGATATCCTACAGTTTGATAAATTATTTTGTGAAGTCTGCATTCTCTCTAAATGAATGCGGAATTTTAATAAACTATTTACAAACAAAAAAACTTGGAATAATTTTATGACTTGTGTGACTTGTGTGATAAAAATGATTTGGTCTATCATAAAAAAATAAACAAAATCTGATTAAATGAATTTCCAAATAAGCAAAATATAAATATTTGCCTATAAAACTGCACATGTTCTATGCTTTACATACACTCAGATACCAAGTAAAGTATTAGAAACATAATTGTGTCCCTGAACATTTGATTAGATTATAATCCAGTGCATCTAATATTTAGACACGTACGAATCTTTGCTCTGAAAGATTACAGTAAATGTACACTACAATATATCGCCAGCACTCGAGGTGTTAACACAGAACAGCAGTCTTTCAAGATATATCCATTTATCAAAGCGTGACCGTAATGACTGTGTGGAGAGAGAACTGTGAAAATATATTTGTATGGTCTGTAGTTTTTAAGGGATGTTGAATGAAGGGAGACTTTTGGAAGCATTAAAAACAGCACTGCACAATCATGCTTTTATCTTAAAAACCATTTGTGTATTTTCACTTTCCCCCTGTTGAGAACAATAGATCTTGTCACTGCGATGGACGTCTGTGCAAATAATGAATTTTTGGCGTTTAGTATAGAAAGTGATTGTATCCACATTAGAAAAGAAGGCCTGGCTAATGACAAGTCTTTTAGGTCCTGCAGTAGAAGCTTTTGAAATATATCATCAATATATCGTTTGCATCAGCTCCGCGCTTTCTTCAATGTGTGTAGTAGAAAACTACATCCAAAGCTTATTTTAATTTTACAGAATGACTGTATAATATTTGGAATCTAATTTAGAACCTTTGTGACCTTAGATGATAGTTTTGATTGTGCCGGGAGATAAGAGCCAGCTGGGAAATCAAGTTTACCCATTGTGCCATAGATATGCGCTCACCAAATATCTCTGGTATTTTTCTATTCAGAGTTACATAGTACTAGCTACATAGTAGCATAGGTTGAAAAGTTCAAATTCTGTCTCTCAAACATATTTACTGCTGTGGATTCAAAAGAAGGCCAAACATAATTTTTTAGTTATATGTAGAACCAGAAATTGAAAAACATCTTGTTCTAGATTCCAAATTGGCCATTAGATTTCTTTTTGGATCAACAAGCTGTTAATAATTAGAATATTACCTATAATAGTCTAGAATTTGTTAAAACTTACTACTGACCAACACTTATTTTTTTGTTATTTGATAATTTTTATGTGCCATAAAAATTTTTGTAACATCGTCTGTGTATTACCAAATCTGATGTATCTTATAATTATATGTATTATATAATCTATAAGATAATGTTTGTTTATGTTATAAATCAATACAAAAAGATATTTCTGTAAACAAGAGGAACCATTTAATTATGTTTATCTAGTGACTGTCACAGATAAAACATGTTGTTGAGTATCAGTCATGTACCTGCTAGTTTTGTTTAATGGTTGTTTACTTGGTGTCATATGAATATGTATTTAATAAATGTATGGTAGCATGCAATTTCTTTATAGGGAATTGTGTATAAATATATGAAGGTTCTGAAATTTTACCCCATGAATTAACTATTTAATTTAAGATTTTTGAAATTATTAATTATGAAAATTATATATATTTTTTTTTATATATTAGTATCCAGAAAAGTACAGAATTCAAAAATGAACCTACATCAAACAATGTGTCTCATGGGCTTGTTGCTTTGTGTCATCTGATTAGTAATATTTATATAACGCCAACATATTCCCTACCACTGCACAATAAGAATGCACTATCGCATCCATTTATTATATTAACTCATTAATTAATTGAATTTACTAATTTGTTTTGCAGTCTAGAGTCTCCCATAAATTGGAACGAGACATTTAATTGCATTAAGGGTATATGTTTGGTAAGACGTTTATGTATGTTGCTGCAGGGTTTGATATAATTGCCGAGAGATTTTTTTTTTTTTTTACATTTAAGTAAATAGTTACACTAAAGTCAATAATCCGTTCCCCCCTCCAGTTTCTGTTTGTTCTCACTGCAATCGATTTAGGGAAAGTGAGGGCATTTGATATGAGTTTTGAATCTTAATATCGTCTAAGCAGTTTGAGATGATATTTTCTCCATTTAATATGCTCTAATGGTGCTTGCTACTATTTCTTTTGGCAAAATAGCCAGACTTTGAATTCATTAAAATGATATTATTTATATATTCTGGGTGAGATAATATATCTGATGATTTCATTTTGCTAAGCTTCCTTTCCTCCTGCTTAATATACTTTTCCCTTGTCTATACCTTCTTCCGAAATTCCTTTGTAAATATATGTTTAGTTTGACGAGTAACAAAGCTTAATATTTCCTGTGAGAGGCTGCTTTACACCCCAGGTCAATGTGTCTGGATAAGACGGCTTCATGAGTCGAAAAAAATCGATCTCAAGTTAAACGCTCCGTTCTTATTGTTTGTCAAAATACACTGATGAGTTTATAATAGAATAGACTCGTAAAAGAGAATAGTGTAAAACATAATAAATTAAATAGACAAAATACAGATGGCATGATGGAAACACTCAATATCTCCCAGAACGTAACAAATTACAGAGAGGGATGATTTCTGTAATAGCGGAGCCATAGTGTGGGTGCTGTAATGTGAAGTTGGAAGGGGGATTTGAAAGTAACTTGGGGAATACAGGCCGAGCTGGTGATTATTTGAAGAGCGCCCTATGCATCTCTTTTATCTTTAATTTGATTGTATATACTTGTTATTATATTGTCCCTTATTGCATGGTAAATAACTAAGTAATATGTCAGTGATATATAAATGATAATGAAAATAGTAATAATAGAAATACTATGAAGAAAAAAATGCACGTGTGTCAATATAATAGTTTAAAAATCATTGTAATGTGGGGAAAGGGTTTATTGACTAAATTGTGAATTGTGTTGGATTTATACAGGAATTAGACATTTTCATCGACAATAGCAGACCTGATAAGTGATCCAACTCTGCTGGTTTTCCAGTGTTTAGAATTCCCAATGAATACACCCCAATATAGTAAGTGGTTTGATTCAAGCTAGGCTAATTCATGATGGAGTAAACCCACTGCGCAGCAAGCTGCGGTGGGGTGAGGTCAGAGCTGTACATTTTAAGCTACAATAGATCATTTGGATAATATTAATTCTTAACTTTCCAGATTTATTGTCTAATCATCTCAACTGATCGTTTATTGAATAAACCACAATTTAAAAATAATTAACTGTCATTTTAATCTCATTGGCCGCACTTGCCAAGAGTTCAAACTTCATTGTCATTGTAAACTTGTTTGAGCAGCGCCTTCGCACCTCTTGACTATATTAATATTGTGGTTACATGCAAGCTCCCTGTTGGTTATCCCCGTTCTGTGATTGTACAACGCTGCAGAACTTGTTGGTTCTTCATAAATAATCATAATAAGAAAAGACACAGATGTAGATCCATAAAAAAAAATATCTATGCATTTCATGTCTTTTTACATCTTAACATTCACCTTGTGACAATGTCTGCATGACAGAAGGACCTTAAACATATTTTCTAATAAACGCAAGCTCCGGTATTGGATTTATAAGACTGACAATGACTGCGCAGACTGGTATATGTTAAGATATCTACTGTGTACATCAGAATTGAAGAGATATTACAGATCGTGTACAGATTTATAATTGTTTTTTGTTTTCATTTTTTTTTTGTAAAATCCAACTTTTTCAAAAGGTTTAATTTGTTTTTTTTTTAGTGATAGTTTTAAGCTAATTTTATTTGATGTTCCACATTTTTACTCGAGTCGTAACCCCTTATTGTTTTTGAATATGCACTGATCAGCCACGACTCCCCGTGTCAAAAACCTCAGGGTCTTCTATTATGTACAATGTAAGAGACATCTGTTTAGCAATGTCTCTTTTCTCACCACAAGTCTGTCTGTCTGCCTGCATCAGACGTATATAGGTTATACAGGAACAACACAAATCACCCTTATTTACACAGTGCCATCTTAACAACATTATAGACCCCCTGGCAAAGAAGTGCACTGGGGCCCTGCCTACACACAACTCACAGGAATAAAAATTAAAATTATAGATAAAATTAAGTTTATATTTATTAGTATCGCGAACAAATGCAATACATACATACAATACATACACACAGACTGCTGAATACAGTCACAGACAGACTGCTGAATACACACACAGACAGACTGCTGCATACATGCACACAGTCCGCTGAATACACACACATACATACAGACTGCTGAATACACATACAGACAGACTGCTGAATACACCCACACACACAGAATAATGAGTATACACAGACAGACTGCTAAGTACATACACACAGACTGCTGAATACATACACACAGTCCACTGAAAACACACACACACACAGGCTGCTGAATACATAAAGACTTCTGAATACACACACATACTGCATTAAGGGGAGCAGTGTATGTGTTTGTGTGAGGAGTGCTGTGTGTGTGGGGGGGTAGGGGTGCTGTCTGTGTGTGTTGGTGTACTGTGTGTGAGGAGTGCTTTGTGTGGGGGGTGGGTGCTGTGTGTGTGTGTGTGAAGAGTGCTGTGTGTGGGGGGCGGAGGGGTGCTGTGTGTGTATGTTGCAGAGTTTGAAGGGTGCAGGTATAAAATGGTTTTTTTTTAAATACAGGTGGTCCTCGTTTTGCGACCTACCTTTTTTACGACAGCTCACACTTGCGACCAGCTCTCTCGCAGGGTGGTAAGTGCAAGCCGTCGTGGGAATTAGAGGGATTCCCTGCTCTGCCGCGTTCTTCTGTGTTCGGGGATATTTCCTCAAACATAGAAGAACCCAGCAGAGCAGGGAAACCCTTAACTCCTCACTTGCCGACCAATTCTTTTTACGACCAAGTCATAGGAACGGAACCCGGTCGCTAAGTGAGGAGTGTCTGTAATCCTATACATTAATAAAGTCTTCATAACCCCCTCCCTTCTTCTTACCTTTGTTGAAGGAGGGGGGGATACAGCTAGCCCTGGTGGTCCAGTGGTGGTAAGTTCTATGTAGCCTGCAGCTCATTTGGAGCACGGCCATGGTAACGCGTGGCAAAGCTCCACACAGCCTGCTCATGGGAGAAGCGATCTGCTTCCCAGATTCCTCCCACTGCTTCTGTGTCCTCCCGCCCCCTCTGCCCAATCAAAGGGTAGATTGCCTGTGGGGCCTCGGGGCAACTGTCCAGCGTGCCCGTGGGGAAAGACGGCCCTGTATTTACACATCAAGTGTATAAAAGTGTATAAAATATTAAGCTTGTAACAAACAGCTTCCCCTGGTAACTTCCCCAGCTGGTTACCACAAAATATATGTATAAAAAGAATAGGGATACAGCTATATGATTTGAAAGGAATACATCAACAAAAACAAAGAGTGATATTGTTGTACAAAGTGTAGTGAATCACTTGTTATAAGTTGCACTCACAAGATAAAAACGTTAAGTTCGCCTTAAAGGTGCCTCCCCTGATGGTGATAGGGGGCTATGTCGACCTCCTCGCTGTCACTGATGTTCTCAATTCAGGAGCCGAGAAAGATCAGTAAAAAATCTTTTTATTGTACCAAAGAACAGAACGGTTTTCAATTATTATAAATTAAAATTTTTTAGCCCAGGTCCTACGCATTTTGTTCATACATGAACTTCCTCAGGGACCTCAAATTATATTAAAAAAATATAATGCAGTAAAATTCCAGAATACAATTCTACTCTATGTATGTTTTTATTTTTATTTAATTTTTTCCATGTTTATGGTCCCTCCATACCATATTGAAGGGTAAGTGACTATTTACTATATTATTATTATTTTATTATTTATATAGCGCCATCACATTCCTTAGCGCTGTACATTGGGTGGACTAACAGACATGTAATTTTAACCAGACAATTTGACGTACAGGAACAGAGGGGTGGAGTGCCCTGCTCAATGAGCTTACATTCTAGAGGGAGTGGAGTATAGTGACACAAAGGGTAAAAGTAGGGGTATGAAGTAGGTTGTTAGAAAAGTATTCATTGAGGGCTTCGTAAGTAATTTTTGACAGTTGCAGGAGTGGAGTCATGGGGGTGGGGGATAAAAACCTGCTTACAGTTTAATTGATATGCTTTCTTGAAGAAGTGAGTTTTCAAAGATTTTTTGAATGAGTGGAGACTGGGTGAAAGTCTTACGGAGAAGGGAAGGGAGTTCCACAGAAGAGGTGCAGCCCTGGAGAAATCTTGGAGGCGAGCATCAGAGGTGGGAGTACGGGCAGAGGATAGACGTTGGTCTTTGGCAGAGCGTAGGTGCCTCGGCGGGACATACTTGTGTATTAGGGAGGATAGGTAGGTTGGAGCAGCATTATGTAGGGACTTGTAAGCAAGCACTAGAATTTTAAATTGAGCCCTATATTTAACTGGAAGCCAGTGCAGGGACTGACAGAGGGGGAGGCGTGGGAGGTGTGAGTGGACAGGAAAATGAGCCTCGACGCCGCATTCATTATAGATTGCAACGGTGCAATCTGGGAACATGTAAGACCACTGAGAAGGGTATTGCAGAAGTCAAGGCGAGAGAGAACAAGAGCATGGACCAGCACCTTAGCTGTATCTGGGGTTAAATAGGTGCGAATGCGCACTATGTTTTTGAGATGGAAGCGACAGGATTTGGTGATTGATTGGATATGAGGGGTGAAGGAGAGGTTGGAGTCAAAAAGAACACCCAGGCAGCGAGCCTGCGAGGTAGAGGTGATGGTAGCACTGTTGACTTGGAGGGAGACAGACACAGGAGTAGCAACACTTGAGGGAGGAAAGACCAGAAGTTCTGTTTTGGACAGGTTGAGTTTAAGGAAGTGGGCAGCCATCCAGTTGGAGATCGAAGAGAGGCAGTCAGAGACACGAGTCAAGATGGGTGGAGAGAGATAAGGAGAGGACAGGTAGATTTGTGTGTCATCCGCATAGAAATGATAACGGAAGCCAAAGGAGCTGATGAGTTTCCCAAGGGAGACAGTATAGATGGAGAACAGTAGGGGACCAAGGACAGAACCTTGGGGGACGCCGACACAGAGTGGTTGGGGGGAAGAGACAGAGTCAGAGAAAGAAACACTGAAAGAGCGCTGGGAGAGGTAGGAGGAGCACCAGGAGAGAGCAGTATCCCGTAGACCAAAATTATGGAGAATGTAAAGAAGCTGTTGATGATCAACAGTGTCAAAGGCAGCAGACATATCAAGGAGAATTAGGATAGAGTATATAACGCTGCACTCTTACTTGGGAGTTTAGGTGGAGGGTCACATCACCTAAACAATGAGTTTTGTTTGTTTGTTGAATATATTATTTGTAAGAGTGCCCTTTAGAGTGTTTTACAGCAGCTAAATATTTATATATTTTTTTAGCACCTGAATATCACACTTTAATTTTGCTATATACAATAAAAACCGCCTGGATTCCTCCCCCGAGTCCCGTTCTAAAGGAATTGTCCTTCTTGTTCATTGGTGGTTGGGTGGAGAGGTTATAATCAGGTCACTATCCTGGATAGATAAATAAATGGCATTAACAGTAGGTTAATCACAGGTCTAGTTGCTGCACGGATCTCACGGACCTAGCTTTGTCAATCTTCCTGATGGTCAGATAGAATTATCCGTTGGTTTCAATGTTGTGAGTAAGTGGATCTCTGCTCGGAAGCTAATTGAGGATGTCTTGATTGATGCCAGAGGTCGCTGGCTCTGATGGGATATCAGAGAAAGTGTGGATGTCATCAGATCTGTAATAAAAGATAATGATTTGAGTTTCAGTTCCTCCGTTACCCAGGATTCCACCACTCTTACCATAAATACACTCGGTCAGTGCTATCTGATCTGTGTTTCTGAACCAAGTTCTCTGATTCTCAGGAAGCCACGATCGGCCATAGATCCTGTATATTAAATTCTGGCACAGTGTATTACCCTGAGGAGTGCACACTTATTGATTTAATTATTATTACATTCTGTTTATCCAGCAGCCTTCGCTCCTGGCTAGCTCCTGGTATCTGTGCCATTGCATACAGCGTTGTGGCATGGTTTTATGCTTTATAAACAAGGATTGAAGCAGGTAAAATGAAGATCTCATAATACTGGTATTACCGTAGGAGAACAGGGATTTAGATTTGTATTAAAAGTTTTAGAGGAATTGTTGCCTTTACCGGCTGATCTGAAGCCTGGGAAATTAAATATTCTTAATTTCGCCACCCCCCATAGAGAAGATTTATAACAAAATACTATATGTTCTTAATGTGACTTACAGTGCAGGAATCAGTGACATCTGTAGGATTTGGGGGGTTCTTGGTAACAATTATCTGAGACCCCCCCCCATATCATAATGTCCTCCATTTTCTCAATCTTGGCCTCAGAAGAGGTGCCTGGAGGTCCATTGACTGCAGTGGAAGGTCTGGGCATTTTCTGGTGCACCCCGCCCCATTACAGCTCTGTTGCTCACAGTAAATGATTCAGGATGCAAATTCTCAGGATTATTACACAAAGCCCTAAATCTCAACCCTATATAATTTGGATTCACTTCAAGCAGCAACAGAGCAGTTTGAGACATGCGCATTCCTCCCCCACTAGTGAGGTTTCACATATATGATCATGACGTTGCAGTGCTGCCTGATAACGCCACCTTCTACATTCAAACTTGTCTTGTTGCAATTACTTGTTAGTTTGTCCATCTGTCGTACAGCGCTCCAGAATATGTTGGTGCTTTACAAATAACAAGTAATAATAAATTATTTATAGCAAGAACAATCAAAAAGCTGAGACTGGCCAGGGACCCAAGTGTGGGGCTGGTTAGAATTGATATTTTAAATTATTTTTTATTTTATACAATTTCATGGTACACAGCAGGGACATTACAGGAGCCGTAAAACATAGTTCATGACTGAATGAATGAAGCGAAGCGGATAGGCAGGGAGCGTCAAAATGCCAAGTGGCTAATAAATGTATGGAATTGTAAATGATATAAAATGTGTTTATTTGCTCCCAATCAAAAGGGAAAGATATTCACCTATGTCTCATCCAGAACCCTCTAATTCCTCCAAAAGTAGAGATGGTTTTCTATACAATTAGCATAAGGTGTTTGTTCTTTAGAAACATTACGCTCTAATTATCAAACATTGATATAATTTAGCAACAGCAATAATATAGAACAAACATTGCAACCAGACACAGAAATGGACAGAGATTATAAAACCCAACAGATTTAAAAACTCTGGATATAAAGTTCAGGACTGTGTTCCCTGCAGAGAGTGTAGATACAAAGTTCAACCTTTAAAAATAGAAAATGTTTTACTTAAAGCTCGGCACTCAAATAGTTAAACGGAATCACTTGGAGTCTTGCGATCTTTCGATAAGGTCAAACTTTTGCCCCATTCTGGAAGCAGTGATTCATAATTTGATCCAAATATAAAGCGAGAACATAGTACAAGTATCTAAACTGGACAATTACTGATTAGCAATAATGTGAGCTAAATAACGAGATCCATAATTTACATATGTTATCAAACCCTGCCAAAAAGAACAGTAAACAATATTTATTACTGAAAACACTATGATCACAAGGGGTTAAATGACGGCTCCTTGTTTTAATCATTGATATTTCATAATGTACAATATATGTTTTTATCAAACTATTAATGCAATGTATGTGTGACATTGTCTTTCCGCCAGATTACGAGATAACAAACATTTATTATAGAGGAAATGTATCATTTGGAAATAAGGCATGGATTTTAAAATAATTAGTTTTTAATTATAAATGGTTTTTAAATATTATTTATATACTTTGAGAAATGTGATAAAAATATATCTGCAAAAAAAAACCAAACAAACAAAAAATATATTTTTCCTCGTTGTACTTTAAATTTAATATCTATAAAAAGATCTGGAAAAGTGATGGTTAAATTGAATCATTAGTTTGATTGTATTTATTATAGTTATCAAAATAATATAAACATTTCTTCATAGCAAACTCCAACAGTTTTGGCAGAACTTTCCATTTCAGACAAATTTGCCAAATTCAGATTAGTGAGAAAAAGGGAAGTGAAAGTGGATACTTTTCTGTAGGAGAAAGTGGTAGAAAGATTGGTAAATACGTTGTGCTACCCAAAAAAACATCATATATTCAAAAATGGTAATAAGAACAGAAAACAAGCAACAGATAAAAATATATCTGTCAGATGAAATCAATTGCATCTACAATTAACCTGAAATTAGATATAAAAGTCTTGTCACTTCTGTAAATTGCTCCCATATTATCGGAGGTATTTCGAAAAACATCTAGGAGCTAATAATTAAATGCTGGACGTTGGAAAAAACATAATTTATCAAAAAACTGTTGAATATTATATTATTTTTCTAATTGTAGCAATATACTGTGTGATTTCTGCAATGTGTATCTCAATTTGAACTGAAACATGAACTCATAACCCAATTAATCTTCAAGGGAGATTAGCACTAATTTGGGTAAAGAAATTCTAACGAAGAATAACTGGAATGTAACTTCAGTTTGAACTTTTTGTATTTTTAAAGTCTGCTACAACACGAATCAATACACATAGAACAATATACAATTATTGTTATATCATTCACCAATATTTGGGCATCAATCTTTAAAATAATAATTATCCCGCCAAAAAATAAATAAGAAATTCAATTTTAAAAACGCAGTAAGGGTTAATTATTGTGTATTATAGATAATTGTCATTTTTACGGCAAAACTCCACCTGGTTCAATAGAGGTGAATTTGATCTATCGTTTCCTAAAATGCTTCATTCACTGTCAATTCCCCACGATTCTTCTTGAGATTACTGTCACTCGGGGTAGTCAATGTCCCCTGAGACTCTTCTCACGGCTGGAGAAAGGATTTTTGTCCCCAACCCTGATTAATATAACCTTATACCGTCTTCTCCTCCTGGTAAATAGAAGTCTGTTGCAATGTCCATAAGCCTGTTTTTTTTTTTCGACGTTAATGTTATTTAATTTGGTTTTCTTTTACGTATGAACGGTATGTGTGTTTCCTTTGTGTCTGCATTTGTTCTTAGCTGAAGCTTTGAAAGGCTTAAAAGAGGATGGAAGCAGCGAAAGGGTTAAGAAAGCGTTATTTTGTGATGTTTAGTCTGGACAGTAAAGACTTTGAGCTAAGATAGCTGATGTCCGAGTCTAATCAGTTTTTAGAATTTTTTCTAACAAAGGTTTTAGCGAGCTGTGTTTACAACCATCGTCAACAGAAAACGCACAATAATTTCTGCCACTCATTCTGACCCCACCACCCAATAAGCTCTTCATTAATACAGGAGTTAAATGCCAAAAATAGCAGTTATAAACAAAACAAAATGGTTGTATATTATTAAACCGCCCCCACCCCTTTAATACCTCATATTTGTATTCAGCAGCAAAATTGGATGCTTGACCCTTTTTTTTTTCTGAAATGTGGAACAATTAAAAAATGTGGAAAACATGTATTTATTGAGTATTGAAATTTTAATTTAATGAAAAATATCAAGAAAGAAAGTAAATGAACAGAGACTCATGGGATTATTTAAAGATGCCAATGGTAAAAATTTATATTTTGTAAAAGAATGTTGTCGCGCAGTAAGTTAAGAATTACAAATGCTGCTAATTGGGGACTAGCACTGTATCAGGACTTTGTTGGTACAGAATAAATAGTGAAGCCAAGTCATGCTAACAGTTTTTAAAAAACAAAAAACTAGTTATGAAACCTCATCAACAAGTTTATCATATTTAATTAGAAAAGTCTAATTATATGTTTGTAATTTAATTATGTCAATCTGATAACATGTTTATTATAATTCCTTAATGACAACTTGTTGCAGTACAATGATTTGCATAAACACAATGTTTTCAACCCGTGGAGGTTTGTCCTGATTTGGCATATAACGTGGAGTGAAAGGGGATCTGTAACATCTCCAGAATTTACATCTGATCTTGTGTTGATCTTTTTCATGAGATATTCAGTTTTCCTTTAACCCCTTAAGGACTGAGCCAAATGTACACGTTGTGATCAAAACGTAAACAAAACCTGGAATTTAAGCTATATATGTCTGTTCAGGCGTAATTCACCTCTTTCATATTATGTGCACCCACACTTATTATACATCATTTTATTCAATGGAAACAGGGCTTTCATTTAACATCAAATATTTAGGTATGAAACATAATTTAATATGAATAGAATATAATAAAATGGGGAAAAATAAGAATTTTAAAAAAATGTTTAGTTCTACGTGACATTCTAACAGTGAATGTCTTAATACTGTTTGCTTTTACTGCAATAAAATACACATATTTGTATTCAGCCACGTCTCACGTGTAAAACAGTACCCCCTATGTACAGGTTTTATGGTGTTTTGGGAAGTTACAGGGTCAAATATAGCGTGTTACATTTTTCAGTTTTTTCATATTGAAATTCGCCAGATTGGTTAATTGCCTTTGAGACCGTATGGTAGCCCATGAATAAGAATTACCCCCATGATGGCATACCATTTGCAATAGTAGACAACCCAAGGTATTACTAATGGGGTATGTCCAGTCTTTTTTAGTAGCCACTTGGTCACAAACACTGGCCAAATTTAGTGTTAATATTTGAAAATGCAAAAAACTAATTTGAACGCTAATTTGAACCAATCTGGTGAATTTCAATGTGAAAAAACTGAAACGGAAGCCTTATATTTGACTCTGTAACTTTTGAAAACACCACAAAACCTGTATATGAGGGGTACTGTTATACTCAGGAGAATTCACTAAACACAAACATTAGTATTTCAAAACAGTAAAACGTATCACAACAATTATATCATCAGTGTAAGGGCCATTTGTGTGTGAAAAATGCAAAAAATTTCACTTTCACTGACGATATCATCGTTGTAATACATTTTACTGTTTTGAAACACTAATATTTGTGTTCAGCAAAGTCTTCCGAGTAAAACAGTACCCCCCATGTACAGGTTTTATGGTGCCTTGGAAAGTTACAGGGTTAAATATAGTGCTAGCAAATTAAATTCCCTGAACTTTTGGCCTGGGTTGTCAGGCAGGTCCTGCAAATTGTAATTAATAAAATGACCTAATTATGTAATATTATTACATAAATATATATGTAGAATTATATATATATATATATACACATGTATGTGTGTGTATATATATATATATGTAAATAATTTTTTTAAAATTATTTTTATTTCTATATAGGTATATATATAGTGATATATACGTATATACTTATGTATATAAATATATATATTATTTCGTTCTACGTGTATTTTTATATCAATATATATTAATTTTAAAATACAGTTAGAACGAAATTACACATGTATATATATTTTTTATTTATTTATTTTTTATTATTTTTTAACATATTTACATATATATTTATTTTATATTAAACAAGGGGGGTTGGCTGCACTCACCTGAACATGCATAAATGGGGGTGCTGCTGGGGGCCAAATAATACAAAACACAAGATCCAGCGCACTCACCTATCCACTAAACAGCAACTTCAAAGTTGAAAGATTTTATTAGTTTTTTTTTAAAACACCTAATCTAGGCAAAAATAATGGGGGTTTAGTTACATTATATGATCATACATTGCATAAGCCTGCCACAACGTCAATGTACCCCATCTTTGGCAGGTCCTACACTAACAGCCTAATGTCTGCTCTTATTATATATAAACATATATATATATATATATATATATATTTATATATATACTGATAATTATATATATATATATTTAGTCAATTTAGGGCCGGGTCCCCAAGGACGGCATAGCACGCCCGCCGTCCTTGGGGATTAACTTCATATTAAAATGTAGCAAATAATATTGTAATCCAGTTTAGACAAGGCACAGGCAGGGCACATATTGCAAATGAAGAGGAGAAATAGTAACATTGTTTCATTTCTCCTCCTCTCTGTCTGCTTGTAACAATGATTGAAAGGGAACTAAGATGGAGACGCCCAGTTGCAGCTCAGAGAGGTGTGGGTTTTTACATTTGATTTGATTTTTCACACCTCACAAATATATGTTTATTAAATAAACAAGTAATCATAATATTAACTTGTTAGATTTTGCGACAAATCTCTGATAACTGAAATTCAATGGTAAAAACTGATGGCGACCATAATAATTACTGATGGCTAAATAGATAACCTATTTAGCCTGTTTTATTCTAAGGGTTTCGGTAGTAAACACAGAATTGCTCCAAACTGAAAACTGAACTTCAAAATCTAGCCGAGAATATTTCTCAAACCAGTTATTTTTGTCAAAATTTTGCAATTCTCTTTTCAATTCACTGCAGTTTATTATGTCGTAAATGAAGCCCTATATTTTGGTTTTTAAATCACCAGAACCGTGTGTTTTATGTATATTTCTCAAAAGAAGTGACTGGCAGTATTTCAAATGACTAGTTATAGGGACACTCCAGACCTCTGAACCAGTTTATCTTCCTGAAATGCTTTGTGTGAAGAGTGTGTCCTCTTTTTTCCATTTGATTAAAAGTGCAGATTTCACTAGAAATTAACACTTTTATAAATTAAGCTTGTTACACCCTCCTGGCTGTCAATCAGACAGCCAGTCCTGTTACTTCCTGGTTCTGTTAGCTCAGTGGAGCTAAACTCAAGAGGCAGCAATTGCCCAGAGCATCTGCCTTGCAAAGACTTCTCAGTGAGCTGCATTGGGAAGTCTGTGATTGGACAGTATTGGCGGGATTAGAAGGTGAAGGCTTGTAAAGGCTGCAGACAAGATATGTGTAAATTTACTAAGCACTGAAAAAAAATACATAATTAAATGCCTGCAGGTTTTTATTGGCGGGATATATCTATTAAGCAGTGATTTATATATATCTTTGTATTTGGCCATTGCAGTGCACCTTTAATAAAACACATCCCACTGATAAAATGTTAAGCCTCTTAATGTTAATGTTAAAATCTGATTGAGACTGACTCATTTTGCAATCTGTGAATATTATCTTTCAATAAGGGCTTATCTGTGATTGTTATCTATCTATCTATATATAAATAAATCAGCACACCCAAAAACAGACCTTAAGATGCTAATTGACTTGGTAATTGATCAAGAGTAAAGCGGTAGATGGTGTTCAGCTAAATCCCAAATCAACATAAAAGGATAATTATAGAGAAAAGATTATCATTGACTAATCACCTAAACATTTTTTTTATTTTTTATTGAATCTTCCAGGTTATCTCACGTGTTAATGATATTATCTGTAGTTCCTTTGCCATGTGTTCTGAAAGAAATAAAGACAAAAATAAAACACGGTGCACTATGAAACATTCGTAATGCTACGTAAACATTTCTTTAAAATAAATTCACAGATATTTATAACAATAGTGATCGATCTACAAAGGCCAGCCAGGAAATACATTCCGTGAAAAATAATCTATCATTAATATTCTTCACAAACTGTAAAACATGTCAAAACAAAATAACAATGTGTGAAAAGCAAACAGTAAAGAGTGATCAGAAACATAATGAGAAATTCTCCCCTATAAACATGAGATGAGATATACATGTAAAAAAAGTGTTAAAATCACTGTTTACTAGATGTATCCCATATGAAAACATACTTGCATTTAATTATGCATTTTTTTCATTTGGAGGTGTGTCTAAAACAGCTTGCAATAGCTGAAGATTCCTTGTCTGCAGCGTTTGCAAGCCCTCCCATTCTAACCCCGCCCAGACTTTCTGTGGCTGTCCAATCACAGATTTCCCAATGCGGCTCAATGAGAAGTTTTTGCAAGGCAGGTGCTCTGGGCAATTGCTGCCTCCTGAGTTTATCTCCACTGAGCTAACTGAACCAGGAAGTAACAGGACCAGTTGTCTGATTGACAGGCAGGGGGTGTAACAAGGTTCATTTTAAATGTGCCAATTTCTGTCGAAATCTACACTTTTTGTAAAATAAAAAATTAGGACAAACACTTCACACAGCAAGTTAAACTGCTTTAGGGGTCTGTAGTGCCCCTTGAAGAATTCAGTGTAAAAATGACTTAAGTGAATTAAGGCAGCATTTTCCTTGGTTTTTATAAAATATTCTATATTCTTTCTGAGTAGACAAATGAACTTAAAAAAAGATGGGAATTCATCTCTATACATAAATACTTTCAAAGTGAAGCAAATTCAATTATAAATTGCAAAATATATGCAAAAAACTTGATTCAGAATAATCCTACATCCCAACTTTGGTCATAACTTGACTATTTTTTTCTTAAATTCTAGAATTGAGCACAGTGAAAAAAATCTGCAGAAATTATTTTTCAAAAGATAGAAATTTTTCGCGACATCTGAAATCCATCTGGATGTCTGTGCCACTCTGTCGAATTTCGATTCAGAAACTGAATCAGGAGAACAAACTAAAAAGGTGTGAAAACGGGCCAATCACTGTGCTTGATAATATATACATTACACGGATTCACGGATCAAGTGAGAAGAAAAATAATCAATAGGTGGAAAAAAATGGAGCAAATCTATCTTATTAAAAATATAAAGACAGATTTATTGATTTTTGCTGCTCCCCTTTTTTTTTCTCTATTGGTTACTTTTCACTTGGAATAAAATAAACATTTACTGACTGTCCAGTATCAATCAATCATTTTTTTTTTTTAACCATAATTTATCTCTTATTTTGGCCACGAACACAGAATTTAAATATTGACACCCCCCAATTTGTTTGACATTGTGCACTTCAGTTAGTCCAGAAATTGGGTATATTTTGGCTCGTAATTTTGCCAGATACCGATTGGCCCAAATCAAATTGCAGTATGGTCCGTAACTTATCTCCAAGTCTACTAAATTTTGCCTTTCAGTTTTTATCTTGCTACAGTTCACAATTTAGTAAATTACCCCAGGAAAAAGTTGAAATAAAATCTGTTTGGATCCTCTCCTTCAGCGAGCGGTGCAGTTCTGAAACTCAATCTTCGATCATTATAGAACTTGCCGTTGTCAGACTAGCAATGTAGAGCAATTACAATTTACTGCAAGTAAAATACACTTATATATAACTGCACACGTACTCCGACCTAAAATAGACTGGCCAAATGTTGGAAAGGCACTTCAAAGTATTTTGTTATGGAGATACCAGCAGTCTCGGTAACACAATATTTATCAAATCATTTTAAAATAATCGATACAGTTTATTCATCTCAAATTGAGCATGCAGTAAGGATACAGTGACAGTTTCATAATTTGAAGTAGATTTTAAAGCTGTAAGCCTACATTCATATTTTGATATGACAGAGTATCTATTTTAGCTAAACATGGAGGGCGGCTAGACCCTGAAAACAGGACTGTCCCACCAAACGCTGGGCAGTTGGGAGCCTTGCAGAGATTTTTCCAAATTGTTATATGCGGTAGTTATACATTGCAACTGTAAAGTTTTTCACAAAATGTTGCACAGCGGCGCAAAGTTGTAAACATGGGGCAGTCACCATGGAAACAAATGAAATCAACCGAAATATTCCATTGATAATTGCAATAATTTTACGATTTTCCACCCCTTTCAGATCCTGATACTGTGATACATCGTCCCCTAAATAAAGAAAGACAGGAATGGTAAATAGGAACTCATTATTACATCATTTGCAAAGCCAAGAAAACACATTTGCTAGGTACATAGAGACTGGGCTTGTAACACTGAATGCACTAGGAATACATTCAATACATGGGCAAATTTAACAACAAGGCACATAAAGCTATTCTAAAATAGAATTACAGGGAGTAAAGCAGGCGGCTCTGAGAGTTCAAAAAGAAAATAGTAAAATTCTATCCAACAAAAAATTGTAAAAGATTTCTAGATATATACGCACATGAAACGTTAAATTACTGTCTGTTTATACTTTACTCACGGCCCTGCGTGGCACAAAAGCTGGTTTGCATTAGACACCTGCCAGTCCTACTGTGTTTAATATGATTGCTATGCAATAAAATTTAATAAAAAAATAAAAAAGAATCTAACAGATTGTTAGACTCAGACTCTTCACACAGAACTATGGCAAAATCTCACAGATAAATCTATAGCTCTTAATCATATAACAGCTTATATAATTAATGGGAAATGATTAATACAATTCAAACATACAGTTATGTCCGGTTAAATGCACAAATTAATTTAAATGTAAATTAGACGTATAAATTGAAGGATTAAGAATATTTAGTATGTAAATTAATTAAAATGTGACATGATTAAGCGGTTCTATGTTGAAACTCACAGGTTTTAGAAGTCAGTCATATTATGTGAATGATAATAATCAAATGGGATAACTTGCAATCTATCTATTATCCTTATAAAACCCAATAATTAATTTGTTTAATGTGAGGTTTTTTTATCACTGTGTTCCTACATATCTTAATGCATAATTAAACTAGATTTCAGATAACTTAATTATAATTTGGGGTATTTGTTTTATTATATTCTAAATATTGAAGTGTACCCCTCTTAAATCTCGCCCATTTTGGGGTTTTTTTGCTACTATTTTTTTTCGGCAAATAAATCAAGCTGTGTTATTTGTTACAGCTGATTCGATAAAATCACCTGTTTATTTGGCATGTAAACTTGTTTATATTGTTTGTTTATAATGTCTTAACTATCTTAGTACAGAATGGACATTTTATGCAAATTAAACTACTTTCCCATAATCCTCTGATGCAAGAAAAAATGATCACAGTCTCATAGTTTTGAGAACTGAGAGGGGACTAACTGAAGGGCAAGCTACTGAATTTATAAAAGCTTTTTTTTTTTTGCCAGATTTCAGAACTTTTATATGCTCTGTTTTTTTGTTGTTGCAACAATTCCTGTTTGTTGTTACATGGGAAATCAACTGGAGAGCTCAGTTTTGAAAATTCATAGCATTTGGGCACTGTTAACTTATACTGACACACTTTCATTGTACCAGAGGATTTCGAGAAAAAACAGCTAATTTGCATGACATGCCCTGTCCATGCCATGTGTTTAGAAGGCCTTTAAATGTACATATAACTTGACTCCTTTGCAATCCTTTCCGGAATACTTTGTATTTGGCTAGCTGAAAGCATACATTAAATATCTGAACAATTAACATGGGACTTGCTGGTATTATGAATGACAGAATTCCTTTAACATAGGGGAAGACTTCTCCAGACTTCATAATCTGGAAAGATTACAGAGACAGACTGAATATTAAAAAAAGAGCATGTGGACACTTTGTTATGATGAAAATCTAAAGCCCTTTACTTTCTAGTGAAACTAAAAATAACTAGACAAAATATAAATTAAAAAAAAAATTATATACAGAACCAACTTAAACCTCTCCAGGACATATTCAGTAACCGGACAGTACAAGGGCACAATCATATCTTCTTCAAATGTCACTGTGGATTGAGGGGTCTTTTGAGGGCAAGGTCCATCCAGTTCTGGATCCTGGTTTCAATGTTCCAGTTACACTTTCTGAAGTTCCATCTCTAGGAACACTCATAAAAGCCCCCCAAATGGGCAGTTTGTTGAAAATCTTTGCTGGGCTTTTCTGACCAAACATGAATTCTGCTGTAGGTTGCTTTTCATGGAGGACCTTGGTTGGCTGGTTTGAAGCAGGTCTTGTATCTGATAAGACAGACTGTCCCTCGCTCTGAGCATGGCTTTGATTGGTATTACTGACATGCCAACTCTACAGTCACGCGGCAGGCCCCTGCCTATGGATAGGTATGACCAGCAGTGAATTTCTATCTGAGCCAGAAGCGTCTATAAGATAAACTAAAAAGGGAACAATAACGCACATTTTTCCACACTATAAAAAAAAAACTGTTACAAGTTCAGATGTATCACAGACTGTCAAAAGTTGTCAGTTCAAAGCAATGGACATCCGCAGGAAAAAGCATCAGCTGATATTATCTGCAGAATTATTGTAGATGGTGCAGATAAGAAGACTCTGAACTCATTTTAACATTGCATTGAGGGAACAGAGACAGCTTCTTAATCTCCCCCTAAAGCAGTTTTCTGCATATCTTGAATCATGACGTCATATAGCGAGGACATATTATCATTAGCTATTTATATAGTGACAGCTACAACAAATCTTAATTCTACAGAAACACCTGCACAATCATTCACAATAGTGTGAATTGATGGGAATACAGAATGAATGTAAAATGTTAGCTCAAAATATCCCAATAGAAAAAATTCAGCTTTCATTCCATTGAGCTGTATTGACCTAAAATTAAAGTTCACTTTTCCGACAATTCACACTATTAGTGAATACAGTTCCTGAAGCTCCTTTGGGTCTTTATTCTCCAATGAGCAAACTGATGACTTGACAATCAAATAACAAACTCTGTTATTTGGGAAGATATTCTAATGTGGATTCCCTGCAATTTGTGTCTTTAATATTTTGTAGAAATGTTACTGTAATGAAGCCGATTGCAGCATAAACACGAGGATGTATATTCCCCACGTAGGAAAAAGGTTTACGCCACGTTCTGGGCTTTTCAGATGTGTTCCAGTTATCCTTAATGACCAACTTGGAACATGTGGCCCGTACTGGCATATGCACCCTCACCTAGCTGAATTTCGCACATAGTTTAATACGATCTATTAGGCATGTTGTATTGTATAAATTACATGTTTAAACGCGGCATCGACATACCTGGATGGTTATATAAGGAGGGAGTCATTTCGTTGAAGTTTTAGAAAATAAAACATAATATCTAGAAGTCTACAAATTGCGTTACCCTATTTTTATTTTAACGTTTCATGTGTCGTACAATGCGTTACTGTAAGGGGATCACTTTAATGATACGGAGTGTCAACAATGTGTTACTCTAAGGGGATTATTTTAATGATACGGAGTGTCAACAATGCGTTACTGTAAGGAGATCATTTTAATGATATGGAGAGGAAGGACACTGGGTCACCTATAGCCAGATACTTTACACAATGTAATAATGGTGTTGTGTGTAAAGTTAAGGTTGAGTGGTAGCAAGAGTCTCCAAACCTGTTAAGACAGAGACTGGAGGGCAGACTTAGACCATGGTCAGGTTAAATTAATGTTATGTTTCACACTAGAAAACTATCGGTTTGAATCCAGAGTTGGATGCCCCAACTGCATGTTTTGAACATTCCTTTCTCATTTTATGATATTTCAAAATATCATCGGTAAGCGTGTATAATATTCTAAATAAATATGTAAGGATAAACCTCTAGAGTTGAGCTAAAGTAATATTTTAGACACGAAGTTCATTTTGTGATACTTTTTTAAGCTGAGATAATGTCTGTGTTTTATCATTTGAGCTTTTGTTGGTGTAAATGTTTTTTAAATTGCCACTTTTATTTAATCATCCAGCTGAATCTGTCACAGATTTTGGGTAAATACCTCTCTGTTCCGATTTTCCATTTCTGCTTTGAATATTCTAATGCATTGATTTAATTTTTCTGTTCTTTGTAAACCGGGAAGATGGAGTTTTGTCTGTGATCAAGTGCTGAGTGTGAATGATATATGTAATGTCAGTATAACTCAAAATTAAATTTAAGTTACCGAGGGCTCAATAACGTTTGTATTTTTTACCATATTTTGAGGATTCCTTTCCAATATTGCATTAGCCAACTATCAGGTGATTAACTTAATCTGGCAAGATAACATTTTAAACTACGGAATAGAGTTGCTAGTTTGACAGTTATTTCCATAAGAATTCTTCAATCCATGGGGGCACGGTTTGAATGTTCTGCCCTGCAGTGTGTGTCATTGATCAGAATATCAATAATATCACATTGAATGCACATGATATTCGCATACTGTCGTGACGCACTTACAAACCCTTCTCAACAGGTTGAAGAATTCATAAGGGTGTATTAGATAGTCCTGCTCCAGTTTATGCATGGAATTTGGAGCTGTTTTGACACTATACAAGTTGTGTATGTAGTGAGCCCTGTATTATATCCGGAATGACATTCTAACCCTGTGTACCGAGTTCTGCCTGCTAGTTAAAGTCATTTGCCAAGAGATGCCATCCATTAATCTGTTAAGTGCCTTCAACCTTAGCCCACCAAAACAGAACATGTTGTGATTGCCCTGGAGGGGAACTCAGTGTTTTTACATCCTGGTGTCTTAGTGAGGGAGTTGCACCAATTCACGAGAGGGATGTCACGCCTCGCACTGCAATGATCAGGGAGCTGTGCTTCCACCTAATACCACCCAGTCCCTCTCCGATGGAGCCTGGGGGGAAGCGCTGAACACTCTGAGCCAAATCCTGGTTCAAGCCCTTGATTAATTAATGCATCTGTTAATTAATCAAAGCAGTAAGGCTGACTCTATTATTTGTGGCTTTTTAATTATATGTATATGTGTGGAAGTCATCTGCAGCTCAAAACAGGCTTTTATGCCTTGCAAAAAAATGTTTTTACAAATTTAACCCTTCTGCTGCCATGAACTTGTCACTTTCTAAAAGTATTGAGGTTAAAATACTTGCATTTTGTTTTTAAATATGTGTTTCGTTGAATTTGTAGACTTTTAACCAGCTGTAATGACTGTGCAGAAAGCCATCTTTCAATCCCTGGTTGCCCATTTTATCCAGCCAGCGCTGTGTCTGTGCATTTAATATATTTTTAATGATTACTGACATTTTCTGAATTTAATGTGTTATTAATAAACCTGTAAACTAGTCAATGAATGCAAGGTTCAGTCAGGTCTTTATGTTCATTCACGTCACAGCCTTGAGGGATATTCGTAAAGTGGGGATCCCACACAAACCTACCCAGATTATTTCTACACTAAAAAGACCTTTCAAAGTGAATTAAAATTCAAGGTAAAACTTACCAAGCTGGAAGTATTCAATGCTTCTAACTGGGCTAATCTGGCCTTAAATTGAAATTCACTTAGAATTCACCTTCTGTGAATATCCCTGAAAGTGAACTGGCCTTTAATGTCTATTTTATTTATCACCTAATTTGTTTTAATCAATATAAATAAAATATTTTATTAAACAAAGCTTTAATAGAACCAATGCAGTAATACCGACACCGGATCTCAATATTTATGGTGTGTCTAACTTTCTAATATTTTTTTATGGTTTGCAATATTGTTACAGTGATTCAATTTCGTTTAAAATTATTTTTATTCTATGGATTAATGTATTTGGTGCTCTGCAACTTTTCTTTTCTGACTTGAGTTTTTGGTAAGAATGAATCAGAAGCCCAAAACATCATCTTTCAATAAACCTTCTTTACTTCCATTTTTATTACATTATTAGGATAGATCCGTAATCTGTGAATCGCCAGGAATCTTTCAATGATTTGTACAATTCAGGCCAAACTAGTCGAGCTGTAAGTAAAGTTTTGCATGGAGAGCTTTTGCAATTTTTCTAGTCTGGCTTACAATTTGCAATTTCCTGGAAAATTCGAAGCCATTTGCAGTTTAGTGAATAATTCCGTGAGAAATTCCTGGTTTTGGAGAAAGGCCAGTCTACATGTGTTTTAGGGCGGTGGCGAGGGAATGATTTTTGCAATCGTTTTTTTCAAACTTCTTTATTTGGAGTGTTAGATAACTTTGGCACTGCAGATGTTTATAGACTACATTTCCCATGATGCTTTGCACATCTCATGATTTGTAAACATCTGCAGCCTGTAATCCGCCATGAATTTTGACTGAAGATAAATAGTTACATTATTTTCATAAAGTTTCTAACCTTGCCCTCCCTATTGCAGGATCATTGCCACACAGAACCTATCCTCTTCTCTCCGTCATCACTCGGCAGCCCAACGTCGTCACTCACCTGGTCCCCCAGGCCTCGTCCCCGCTCGTCCAGGTGCTGTCCCAGACACACCTTTCCTCGGGAGGTGTGCGCTCTGAGACCCCGGCCAGCGAAGCCCACCCCAGCAGTGAGTCAGAACTTGAGCAAACAGCCCCTCGAGTGAAAAAGCCGCGTCGCAGTCGAACCATCTTCACCGAAGTTCAGCTGATGGGCCTAGAAAAGAAATTTCAGAAGCAGAAATATTTGTCAACCCCAGACCGGTCAGTGGTCTTACACTTCGTATGTCTATCACCATTCTATATTGCATCTGCACCCCTCATTTTATAGACATCATTGCTAAAATCTGTACTTGTGTATATCTAATAAATATATATTGTTATGTAGTATAAAATAATGTAATGCAATATGAAATATAATGCAATATATGGTGTAATATAAAATAATGTAATGAAATATACTGTTATACAATATATAGTGTAATATAGAATAATGTAATATATAGTGTAATACAATACATAGTGTAATATAAAGTAATATACAGTGTAATACAATACATTAGCATAAAATAATATAACGTAATATATAGTGTAATACAATACATAGTGTAATATAATATAATGTAATATATAGTGTAATACAATACATAGTATAATATAAAATAATTTAATGTAATAGATAGTATAATGTAATATGTCCTACGTTATAATGAAGCATTGTGTATGAGCAGATTATTGATACGTGCATTGTCTGTCTATGGATTTATATAGAATAAAGACAGACAGACAAATAAATAAATACAAAACATTTACAGATATACATGGTATAAAATCATTCGATTTATAAACATTTCCATACAAATGAAGAATTTGCAAATAAATGTTTTTTGTTTTTTTTTAAAGTGTGAAAATTAAAATATAATCACGAATTTAGCAAAATATCCAAAAATGTACATTTTAAGGATGGTCTATTTTGCGTTGTTCCCTGAGTGTTATTCGGTATTATGTCGGCCACGGCCAGCTGTGTTTGGCCTCGGATTCCTGCACAGCTGCACGGTGATGTCACCAAGCCGATCACTGAGTTCCCGCCACGTTGGCTCGATCTGGCACATGTATGGCTCTGCCTCCAACCCTCTAACATCACATCAAAGGCGTGGGGTCTGGACGCCAGTGAAAGGATCCTCTCTGTGCCGGTGCATTGATTTCAAGCTTCACGCTCACAGACATGGGCTCAAACCTTTCAAAAAACCATTAAAACATCTGACAGCAGCGAGCTAAAACAACACACCCCTCGCATGGCTGAGATTCAAACCGCTCTGTAACCTAGCAACAGCATGAAATGTCTTTTTATGTAACCCAGCTCTGCTCAAACCATCTGTATGCCCACATGGGAACATCTCAAACCACAAAGAGTAACACACTGGGGTAACTGCCTGGAGGGGGACAGGGACAAATGTAATATAGTCACATAGCCCTGACCCTCTGTATATCATACATACCCTGATATATAACCAGAAACAGTGATATAGAAAGGGTAGTAGATACCTGGAATAGCCTTCCAGTGGAAGCAGTAACAGTGATATAGAAAGGGTAGTAGATACCTGGAATAGCCTTCCAGTGAGAGCAGTAACAGTGATATAGAAAGGGTAGTAGATACCTGGAATAGCCTTCCAGTGGGAGCAGTAACAGTGATATAGAAAGGGTAGTAGATACCTGGAATAGCCTTCCAGTGGGAGCAGTAACAGTGATATAGAAAGGGTAGTAGATACCTGGAATAGCCTTCCAGTGGGAGCAGTAACAGTGATATAGAAAGGGTAGTAGATACCTGGAATAGCCTTCCAGTGAGGAGCAGTAACAGTGATATAGAAAGGGTAGTAGATACCTGGAATAGCCTTCCAGTGGGAGCAGTAACAGTGATATAGAAAGGGCAGTAGATACCTGGAATAGCCTTCCAGTGGGAGCAGTAACAGTGATATAGAAAGGGTAGTAGATACCTGGAATAGCCTTCCAGTGGGAGCAGTAACAGTGATATAGAAAGGGTAGTAGATACCTGGAATAGCCTTCCAGTGGGAGCAGTAACAGTGATATATAAAGGGTAGTAGATACCTGGAATAGCCTTCCAGTGAGAGCAGTAACAGTGATATAGAAAGGGTAGTAGATACCTGGAATAGCCTTCCAGTGGGATCAGTAACAGTGATATAGAAAGGGTAGAAGATACCTGGAATAGCCTTCCAGTGAGAGCAGTAACAGTGATATAGAAACGGTAGTAGATACCTGGAATAGCCTTCCAGCGGAGGAGTAACAGTGATATAGAAAGGGTAGTAGATACCTGCAATAGCCTTCCAGTGGGAGCAGTAACAGCGATATAGAAAGGGTAGTAGATACCTGCAATAGCCTTCCAGTGGGAGCAGTAACAGTGATATAGAAAGTGTAGTAGATACCTGGAATAGCCTTCCAGTGGAAGCAGTAACAGTGATATAGAAAGAGTAGTAGATACCTGGAATAGCCTTCCAGTGGAAGCAGTAACAGTGATATAGAAAGGGTAGTAGATACCTGGAATAGCCTTCCAGTGGAAGCAGTAACAGTGATATAGAAAGGGTAGTAGATACCTGGAATAGCCTTCCAGTGGAAGCAGTAACAGTGATATAGAAAGGGTAGTAGATACCTGGAATAGCCTTCCAGTGGGAGCAGTAACAGTGATATAGAAAGGGTAGCAGATACCCGGAATAGCCTTCCAGTGGGAGCAGTAACAGTAATATAGAAAGGATAGTAGATACCTGGAATAGCCTTCCAGTGGGAGCAGTAAAGACTAACAGTGATATAGAAAGGGTAGTAGATACCTGGAATAGCCTTCCAGTAGAAGCAGTAAAGACTATTAGAAGCAATAACAATAATATAGAAAGGGTAGTAGATACCTGGAATACCCTTCCAGTTGAAGAAGTAAAGGCTACCAGGTATACAGAAAGGGTAGTAGATACTTGGAATCAGTAAAGGATAACAGTGATATACAAAGAGTAGTTGATACATGGAATAGCCTTCCAGTGGGAGCAATAACAGCGATTTAGAAAGGGTAGTAGATACCTGGAATAGCCTTCCAGTGGAAGCAGTAAAGGTAATTAACACAGTAATGGAGTAGGGGATTGTTTGATATGTGTACACAGTTTCCCAAATAACAGATCAGCTCAATACATGTCATATTGAGCAGATTAACCCTTACCTGCCGACACAATTAATATTTAGCTGCTATTCTTCCCTCTTTTCATATAACTATAACTTTCAGTCTCAGGATCCCTCTATCACTTTAATCTCCCCCAAAATTGCACCTACTCACCTTTCCCTTCCCATTCTAAATTTCCATTTCCGACCCCGGCCTGTATTATTTCTTAACGTCTCTGGGTCCCAAAACACTTAACAGGACTCGTGAAACTGACCCCCCCCCCCCATCTCTCCCATGAACTGAACACCAAGTTCTGAAACAGGGACTCAGTCTATGATTTGTGCTGGAAACTAAATCTATGGCGTTTATTCAGCAAACACAGTATTGTAGTAAATTGGAAACCGACTTCTAATGTTAAATTCCATTAGCAGATCTGAAACCATGCTCACAACATGCCGTGTGGTGTTCAGTTATCTACAACCGATTTGAGTCGATAAACCCTGATATGTTGATCCGTATACTATTTATTAACACTTTGTTCAATGTGAATTCCTGAGAGCTGTTTGTGTGCCATTAGTGGCAGTAATATATTCGCCTCTTTACAACCTAGCTTTTGATACAAATTGTCTCTGCGTTTCCCCCAGGTTGGATTTGGCGCAGTCGCTCGGTCTGACACAACTTCAGGTCAAGACGTGGTATCAAAATCGCAGAATGAAATGGAAAAAAATCGTAAGTAGATTTTCATCTTAAATGTGATCACTTTCAGTCTTTTGAAAACATTACATCTTTTATTGTTTAATTTGCTTTGCATTATTGCCTCTAAATAGACTCTTTCAGTCCGCACCTCACGCTGGCTTTTCAAATATCAATTTAACGGAATTTTAATCCTGTTTGGTTTAGTCTTGATTGTATTGCTTTTCAAAGTAATGGAGATTAAAGATCTGACGAGAAGGAGGGGGAGGGCAAATTTTGCACCTAAATAGGGTCATAAACCATTGCTAAAGACTTAGAGGACATCTAATATAATATATAACTATTGTAGATTGTAATTTTATTGATAATTATTGTTTTGTTTGGGTTCTGACTGTGGTTGATAAATATTGACCCCGATTAGACATTGGAAATCAAAGTATTATTATAAAATGTTAACAAACAAAATCTCCTTCCTTTGAAGGTGCTCAAAGGGGGACAAGAAGCGCCCACAAAGCCAAAAGGTCGCCCAAAGAAAAATTCCATCCCATCCTCCGAAGAAATCGAAGCTGAAGAGAAGATGCACCAATTGACCCATGCGTCCGAGCTGGATGAGGAAGAACATAGTAAAGACACAGGACAAAAACAGAACGCTCAAACCTTGCCGGCGAGTGTGGAAGAAAAATGTACAAATTCAGAGTTACAGTCACCGCCGTTGCCAGCCACACCGCAACCAGAAATGACAATCAGTGATCAGCACTCCTCGAGTTAAAACGGGCCAGGTCACACAGTTACATAACCAAAGACTGAGGACAATGCTGCATATAGAGGGGCCCCTGGGAGCTCCCATTGCCTGTACTGGACATGATCATTGCCAGAACCCTCCCACTACCTCCTTTCATCTGGAAGGGAAAGGGTTAAACTGCCGTTTGGAAGAACATAGAGTAAGAAATCTCCATCACTAATGCCCAAGGAGTCTTACTGCGTTGAAGTGACTGGGAATTTTTGCTGTGTCTGTAAGACAATCGGACAGTGTATATAGTGTTCTTTATTTTTGTGCCAGGAACTGCCGTTAAAAGAAAAAAAAATATATGGGCAAATGAAACTGTTTTTCCTTAGGAATGCCTTGATATTAAGTGCCTTTATTTTGCATGAAACTAAAGGGATATATTGAGTGTCTGTCCTCATTTAACCCTCTCAGATACTTTGCCACGGAGAGTGAGCAACCAATTGTACTCAGCAAGGGCTAGACGGGTGAGTAATATATTATGCCCATTATGTGTCTAAAGGATGAGCAACAAATTGTATCCCACGAGTGCCAAAGGGTTGAGAAAAACATTGTATTTTATGTGTGCTAGAGGGGCAATTCGTTTGATGTTGTGTGTGCTATAGGGTTGCGTTACAATAATATATCCTGAGTTCTAGAAGGGTTATACATTGTACCCTGTAAGTGCCTGATGGGTGAGAAACATATTGTAATATGTGAGTGCCAAAGGGGGATGTAACACATTATGATCTAGTAATAACATAGGGGTAAGTTATCCATTGTACACCTACTGCCAGAGGGGGAAGTAATGTATTATGCCTTGAGCGTGCCAAAGGGCTGAGTAAACCATAATTTCCTCTGAATGCCAGAAGAAAGAGCAATTCTTTCTACTCGTTTACAGTCCAAAGGGAAAAGTAACACATTGTGATTTATCTCCCAACATTTTCCGTATATTTGGCAAATAATAGAATTTAACAATTTTATTCATAAAGCATGTCCTGGTTAACTATTTAATACCAGTAGGACTCCTACTGTCCATCTGTCTGTCCATGTTTGTATCTTTTTCTATATGTCTATCTTTGTCCAACCATCCATCCTTCCATCTCATTTTTTCTCGCTACCCGTTTATATATCTGTACATTTATCTATTTGCCTGTCTGTTTGTCTATCTCTGTCTATCTGTTTCTCTGTCTTTTTGTCTGTCTGTTTGTATGGTTGTTGTCTTTCTTTGTTTGTCTGTCTGTCTGTCTGAAGGTACTGTTTTTCCCTTGTTTTCTCGCTCCATGACTGCCAATGCCAAGCAATACACACTGATTGAAGCACATAATGTGCCGTCTCCTGAAACCCAGAATGGTAATCACGTTTGTGTTGTGAGAGCAGGCATCGTCTCTGTCTCAGGTAGAAAGTTAAGCTTTTTTTCCCTCTATTGACTAATCTTAATTGCTGACTGTAACAAACCTCTTATTGTTTTTACCTTAAAGGGAGACATTTATTTCTTTCGCTGACCTTACAGGCTCTTCAAATAGAAGTTTGGATGAATATTTATATTTTATGTGTAGGATAGGAGGTAAACATAATTAAATAACTACATATAGCTGCCCTACATTTATTACATACTGTATAAGAAGTGTTGCTGAAAAATCACTTATTAGCCTTGTGTGAAAAAAATTAATGTTTGTAAGATTATTGATTGCAAGGAAAGAAAAGTTCCCTTTTTAATCATTCTCAGTTATTTTGCTGATGTATGTGCACTGTTCTCGTCAGTCATACTGACGGTGATCTGTACGTTTCTAAAAACACTTTAATCCATAAAACAATAAAATTAAAGCTCACCACGCCCCACGGGTGCCCTTTGCCCCATGGAAGGTGCCACGGAAGCGGGTATAGACCTACTATTACCAAATAGTGTGAGATTTATAGAAATACTCGATGTGTTTACAAACCACTCACTGTAAAATGATCATAGTATCAACTGTAAGAGAGATAGCTGTGTACCCCACTGTTACAGGGTGTGAACCCCACTTGATTCTCATGTAATAATTCTGTTTGGGAAAAAGATTTATAATAAAGTGTCTATTTTTTAATGAAAAAAAGAGTAACTGTCATCTGTGAATATGCTCTGTCTTACGGTCTGTCTTTCTATCTACCTGCCTGCCTGTCTGTCTATCTGTCCGCCTCCCTGTCTGTCTGTCTCTTTCTGTCTCTCTCTTTCTATCTGTCTATCTTTCTTTCAGTCTGTCTATCTTTCTGTCTGCCTGTTTTTCTATCTGTCTATTTGCAATTTTGCCTCCACTGGATAAGATCTCGATGACTGCAATGTGCATTAAATGTTATTGTAAAAGCCCTACGACGTTTTGTAAATGACTGACCTCTATGTTAGTACTTATAATAGCAGTGATACTGACTTCAAATGTGCTATCTCTCCACCATCACTGGGGACGAAGAAGATGTGGGGGACAAGCGGGTCGCAGGCCTCAACTCCAGTCTCCTTATCCCAGTCCCAAGGTTCACATTCTCGGCTCTCGGTTCACGTTCTCGGTTCACGTTCTCGGCTCTCGGTTCACGTTCTCGGCTCTCGGTTCAAGTTCTCGGCTCTCAGTTCACATTCTCCGCTCCCTTCCCGCTAGGCAGACCGAAGCACATGGAAACACACGCCATTTAATCACAAAAGATTTAACATAAACCTGGGTGAAGGATTGTTATGGCCGGTTATTATCAGATTATCCCCAAACATGTAAAGAGTGTTCCAGGTTTCAAGGTGACTCAAGAACCTAAATCACCCAAAACCCCATAATCAGACCCCCAAAACACAATACAAAACTTCCAAACTGACATAGACAAGACCCCTCTCTTTCTACAAATGTGGTCATAGTAACAGGACTAACACAGCCATTCCCTCCGGACAAGGACAGCCCTGTAACCATATAAACAGGATCAATCTCACCTTCTTTCTCTTTCTCTTCTCCCCATAATATATCGGGGTGAAATAAACTCTCACGAACTGCTGAAAGTATCTTTCTTATGAAATCTCCCATGTATTTACATTGACTCCATATGGTAAGAGTAAATTTCATATATCGATGTATAATTACTAAAGAAGGCTTAGATTGAAATACACCAACATTAAAATGTGCACCAGTGCACGTCATGTACCGACTGATCAGCCGATTACCAGTTACATAGTTACGAAGCTGAAAGAGACTTGCGTCCATCAAGTTCAGCCTTCCTCACATATGTTTATGCTGTTGATCCAAAAGAAGGCAAACAATCTGAAGCGCTTCCTAGTTTGCAACAAACTAGGAAAAAATTCCTTCTTGACCCCAAAATAGAAATCAGATGTCTCCTTGGATGAAGCAGCTATTACCCCACTAATTAGAAATTATATCCCTGTATGTTATGTTTTTGCAAGTATTTATCCAATTTCAGTTTAAACATCTGTATGGACTCTGATAAAACCACCACCGCCAGTGAAAGGGTTAATTAAGCAATGGGTTGGTATCGCAGGTTATTTGGGCAGGGCTCCTCTAAAGGAAAGTAGACTAATCTTTCCAGATACAATAGCGTGCCGCAGCTTGTCGCTTTGTTAAAACTTGCATTAAGGCTTCTCCAAAAACATAGACCCTATTGTGCTCCCCCAAGAGGAGAACTCAGGAAGGCTGCATCCACCCAGCTCTGTGCAGGAGCAGCTATGGCAGAGTAGGAGAACACAGCGAACACTTATTGTTTCAATTAAACCCATCAAAATGTGTCTGAATTATGAACAGTAAATTAATATAGTTCTAGAGCCATTGCCAAATCGCTGAGGTCTAAGAAAATGAGCAACTCTTTGCCAGGACTTTGGGAAAAGCAGAGGCCACCTCCCACGACAGCTGTAATATACCCAAAAACACAACAACGCAAGATTAATTGTTGTTTCTCAACAAGCTGGAAATACGTTTCGACAAATCAAGAGGTAACAAGAAAAACAAACGAGAATCTAATAACATATTCCAAATAATATTAACCCCTTAAGGACTGGACTGTTTTTGCGATGTTGTACATTTGCGACCAGGCATATTTTTACACTTTTGTGGTGTTTGTGTTTGGCTGGAATTTTCCGCTCTCTCATTTACTGTTCCCATACAAATTATATATTGTTTTTTTCAGGACAAAAGGGGCTTTCTTTACATACCATTATTTATATAATCTCATGTATTTTAATTTAAAAAAAATACAAAAATATGATGAAAAATTGAAAAAAATACATGTTTTTTTACTTTTACTTGAAAAATCTTTTACTCATCTACAAAAGCAATTAAAAAAACTGCTAAATAAATTCAAAATTTTGCCCTGAGTTTAAAAATACCCCATGTTTACATGCTTTTTTTTTTGCATGTTATAGGGCTATAGGTACAAGTAGAATATTGCGGTTTCAAAACATACATTTTTTAAATTTATCAATAGTGACATTGTAACACTATTATCGGTCATAAATCTCTGAATAACACCCCACATGTACATATTTTTTTTAAAGTAGACAACCCAGGGTATTCAATATGGGGTATGTCCAGTCTTTTTTAGTAGCCACTTAGTCGAAAACACTGGCCAAAGTAAGCATTCATATTTGTTTGTGTGTGAAAAAAGTAAAAAAACTAAATTGAACGCTAATTTTGGCCAGTGTTTGTGACCAAGTGGTTACTAAAAAAGACTGGACATACCCCATTTGCAATACCTTGGGTTGTCTTCTTTTGCAAATGGTATGCCATCATGGGGGTAATTCTCATTCCTGGGCTACCATACGCTCTCAAAGGCAACGTAACCAACCTGGCCATTTTCAATGTAAAAATATTTGACCCATATATTTGACCTTGTAACTTTCAAAAATACTATAAAACCTGTACATGGGGGGTACTGTTTTACTCGGGAGACATCGCTGAACACAAATATTAGTGTTTAAAAACTGGAAAACGTATCACAACAATTATATCATCAGTAAAAGTGCTGTTTGTGTGTGAAAAATGCAAATAAAGTAACTTTCACTGACAATATCATCGCTGTGATATGTTTTACTGTTTTGAATCACTAATATTTGTGTTCAGCGAAGTCTCCCGAGTAAAACAGTACCCCCCATGTACAGGTTTTAGGGTGTCGTAGAACGTTACAGGGTAAAATACAGTGCTAGCAAATTAAATTCTCTGGAATTTCGGCCTGGGTTGGCAGGCAGGTCCCTCAAATTGCAATCAATAAAATTACTGAATTATGTAAAAATATTACATAAATACGCACGTAGAATTTAAATATATATGCATATTTATATATTTGAAGTCTACGTGTATATTTATATAATTATTTATGTAATTTTGTATATGGACAAATGTATATTTCTTATTATTTTTATTTATTTTTATATACATAGATATATATACAAATTCATTCTAAGTGTATTTTGATATAAATATATATATATTAATTTTAAAATACAGTTAGAATAAAATTTCATATAGCTATATAATTTTTTAAATTTTTTTATTATTATTTTAAATTTTTTTTATTTAATTTAAATTACTTATTATTTATATTTTATAATAATATATATATACAATATATATAGTTATTATATATATTATATATATACGTGTGTAATTTAATTATAAGTGTATTTTTATATTAATATAAGTACATATTAATATAAAAATACACTTAGTATGGCATTATATATATAAGATATATAGACATATATTATATACATATAATATATGTCTATATATCATATATACACATATATAATTTTTTTTTTTTTTTATTAACATTAACCTTTATTTTATTTTTTGATTTTACACATGCAGGGAGACTGCCTGTCAGCACAGACAGTCCCCCTGCAGGCAGCACTATGGACACCTATTGTGACCATGTGATCGCTGTGTTTAGCGATCACATGGCCACAGGGGTCCTAAATCAGTGTGGGGAGACTGTCTGGGCCACACCGGGAGCCACGCTGATCGCCGCCGGGGGAAGGTAAGTAACGGAGACCGTTAGGACGGTTCAGGACCGTCATCGGTCCTCAAGGCAAAAATGCCGATGACGGTCCTGAACCGTCCTCGGTCGCTAATGGGTTAAGTCGTACAATGTTGTCAAAGCAAGTCAATAAACATTTGCCAGCACGTTTAAACATTTCACGTGGAAACACGCAATTACTATAACTGCATCACTGCATAACCCCTAACTTAACAGACGCCCTCTGCATTCTATGGAGGATTTGTCTGGAGTGTTCTAGACTCTGGCGCACACTTAGCGCTCCTATGATAATGAGCTGAGATAATTATTGATTTATCAATCAAGGACAGATCTGAGGGGTGTGTGTAGGGTATAGTATGAAAATTAGAAGATGAAGTTGGGATATTCCTGCTATTTGAATATTTAGCATTTTGTATCAAGAGACACAGTATTATGTTGTAATAGTAAACAGGACAGTCCTAACCTCTTTCTATATTTCTGTTAGTCGAAGGTTGGAAAAAGCCAGCGTTTCTGTTAGTTTATTAGAGGCATTATACTAAAATAACTGGCCCGTTTTCTTGTCTAAAAGGTAGTTTATGTATAATTTCTTGTACCGGAAAAGCCAAATTGCTGTGTTTTTACAGGGATTTCGCAGTACGTTGACACTAAAGTGCTGTTGAACCACACGAGGAATTAATTAGCTCTTAATGAGAAAGGTATAAATTAAACCTGGCAGGTTTATCAAATAAACCAACATTATTTCTTAATTGGTCGCACACTGGGAGCATGTGAATTCTACATACTGACAGGTGGCATTTTAAAATGGTTCTGTCACTCTCTTGGTTTACCTTTAAATTAATCTATTTTTTTTTTATTTTGTCCCTTTATTTCTCCCCATTTTTAGTTTTTTGAAGGTCACAAAAAGGAGGGAATACATTTTCTTGTTCGGAGAGGGATCTTTTTTGAGGCGTAGCTTAAACAGAGTTTTATTTCAGTTGCTAATTTACCTACAATTGATGTATCACAAGAATCCAACAGAGGGCAAACTGCAGACGTCAAGGGCAGAGGAAAACAAAAATGGCCGCACCCAGGTATTGAGATCCAGTGCAAGGAAGAAAAT